TACCATCTAATTTCATAATAAATTACTGAAAGACAGCCCTTTCCCTGCTAAACATCATTTAGTATTTCTTATACGGTAAGTCTGCTAGCAGTACATTCCTATAGCTTTGATGTATAAATTTATACACCAAAGAATAATTTATCACATTTAACCTCTTAAAGATAATTTTATTGGAATTAAGTTTTTGGTTGACAGTTTTTTTCTAGTATTTTATTATTGATTGATTGATTGGTTTTTCAAGACAGGGTTTCCCTGTGTAGCTTTGCGCCTTTCCTGGAACTCACTCTGTAGTCCAGGCTGGCCTCGAACTCACAGAGATCTGCCTGCCTCTGCTTCCCGAGTGCTGGGATTAAAGGCGTGCACCACCACTGCCCGGCTTTTTTCTCGTATTTTAAATACTTCCTTTTTGTTTAGTCTGTTTCATATTGTTATAACAGAATACCCAAGACTAGGTAACTTATAATTATTTTGGTTCATAGCTCTGGATACTGTCAAAATCAGGTGGCTGATTTAGTTGGCTTCTGAAGAAAGTCTCACTGCAGCCTGACTAATGGAAGAAAGCAGAAGAGCATGCAGAAGAGAGAAATCTTCAGAATGCTAACACCTCTTAATGGTCTGATGAATACTGGGACACTGGAAATTAAATGTCAACCCAAATTTTGCTGGGGCCAAACCATATCTAAGTCACAGTAGCATCCTAGTACCTTCTGATTTCCATGGATTTTTATGGGAAACTGTTAATCTTAATGAGACCTGCTAGCACAAGGCCATTCACTTTTACTCCCTGCTTTAGAGATTTTTCCCTCTGCCTCTGGTTTTTAGTATTTTCTTTATTATGTGACTAGACACATATATTTTGAGTTTATTGCACTTATGTGTCCAGGCTAATGCCATTCATCAAATCTGGAAAGTTTTCAGCCATTATTTGAAAATACCTTTTCTACGTCTCTTCTTCATGTGATATTATGGATAGTTAGTTTACGTTTCTCTGAAGCTTTCTCCATTTTCACTTTTGTCTATGTTCTTCTGATTGAATAATATATAATTGAACTTTTTAATTTTCATAATTTGTATTCTTCTTACTCTTAATGTATGTTGTTGAGTCGTTTTGGAGTAATTTTCATGCCTGTTCTTGTACTTTTTACATACAGAATTTCCATGTGGTTATTTTAAAAATAGTCTCTGTTCTTTTATTGCTATCTTGTACTTGATGAAACACTGTCTCTATTCCTGCCTAAATGCTTTATCCATAGTTTCCTTTAGGTCTTTGAATATATTTGTAGTAGGAAGGTTTCTCCAGCCCTGCCTGGCTCTACAGTCCCTCAGCTGCTTATAAGATAATCATTCAGAGGCTTATATTAGTTATAACTGCTCAGCCGTTAGCTCAGGCTTATTACTGACTAGCTCTTACACTTAAATTAACCCATAATTCTTATCTAAATTTAGCCATGTGGCTTGGTACCTTTTCTCAGTTCTGCCTTGTCATCTTGCTTCCTCTGTGTCTGGCTGGTGACTCCTGACTCAGCCCTTCCTCTTCCCAGAATTCTCCTCGTCTGCTTGCCCTGTCGATACTTTCTGTTTGGCTACTGGCCAATCAGTGTTTTATTTATCAACCAATCAGAGCAACACATATTTGCAACACACAGAATGATATCCTACAGCACTTCCCCTTTTTTGTCTAATCAAAAAGGAAGGTTTTAACTGTTTTTTTGTTTGTTTGTTTGTTTTTTCAAGACAGGGTTTCTCCATGTAGTTTTGGTATCTGTCCTGGATCTCGCTCTGTAGACCAGGCTGGCCTTGAACTCACAGAGATCCGCCTGCCTCTGACTCCTGAGTGATGGGATTAAAGGCATGCACCACCGCAGCCTGGGAGAAGGTTTTAACTTTAACATAGTAAAATTACATAAAATAGAAAAGTTAACAAGCAAGAGTTACAGTTACAATATCTAGTCTATTTGTTTGGCAAAATTAAAGAAAATATTCTATCCTATATTTGTGAGTGCCTCCACCCTACAAGTTGGGGAAGATAAAGCTGGATGGGAAAAGAGAGACCCAGTCCTTTTAGGTTTATCTATAATATACCTTCTACAATATAAAACTGGGGTAAATGAAGCAGTCAGAGGCTTGCTCCTCCCAGTGAAACCAGTTTTCCTAGGCAACAGAAGCATCTTTTAAGAAATTCTTTTAAAATACAAACTCATCAGCTTTTGGCATAATTTATTCAAAATATATAAATAAACTACAATCACTAATTCTTTCCTTTGCTGATAACACTTATGGCTATTTTAGACCTTAGTTTGTACCATTTGTAAGGAAATTTGTATGCACTGGAGATATTTACATACAACACTGATTATTCCATCATCTTGGATCCCTTATTACTGTAAAAGACTATTTTTCACAGAACACCCAAATTTATGTAGAATGAATGAACAGAAGTAAATTACTTTCTTTTTAGAAACAAGCTGTTTTCCCATAAAAGGCTATGACTAACAGCTTACATCCTAGCTGAATCTATTCTTCATTGTATTGTAATTCCAATCTCCCCTTGTTAGATGTGGAGGACTCATAAAGTCATTTCCAATGACTTTCATGGAGGACCCTTCTATCCTATCCCAGAATGACTTCTTAAATGTTTCCTGAACAGACTAGGCTTTATTTTGCATAGTTAATGGGCAAGACTACAAAACTCAAAGACTCTTATTATATTTTAGGTTTCTGATAATGAAGGAATGCTTTTGTAACTCTTGGTTAAACTTATTACTTCATTAATACTCTTTCATCAGAAACTCTATATTTTATTAAACCTGTGAGCATCCCCATTTCCCATTTCCAAATGAAAAACCTGCTAATAATAAAAAAAAATTGAGACAGCATTTTGGTATGTTATCCAGGCTGGTCTCCAACCACTCGACTCTGCTGGTCTTCTGGCCTTAGTCTCCTAAGTAGCTAGAAATGCTACTGTGCCACAACCAACTTGAATGCTCCTATATGTGCAGCCTTAAATAATGTAATTATTATTATTTGCTAATCTTACATAGATATGTTATTAGCAGCATCGGGTATCATTTAGCTCTTGAAAAAGTTTTACTCTCAACAAATCAGAATTATACAAAAATGTTCAAAGCACTTTACTTGCCCTCTACAGTCTTAACCTTGTATTCCACAAAGACCCATAAAAAATCTCCAACAAAAGCTGATGAGGTATGCCCCCCAATGGATATAGTGTGGTACTGCACTCACAAAATATATAATAGCCCAAATAACGTTTGTAAGCCCCCTGCAGCAGCCTTAAACCACTATAGTTGCCAAACAAATGTAGTCAAAAAAAGAAAAGTGATCATTTAAGTGTAAGGATGTGAAAACAATGGCATAAAAGTAGCCAGATGACCACAAAAGAGAAGTCATCATGTCCTTCAGAAACAAACTTATTTACTGTGCACCCCTTCAAACCTGCAATGGATGAGGAAAAACTACTGACAGAAATAGGGCAGAGTTAGGATCAAACTACAGAGACCAGGGTGGACTATAGTTTCTTACCCCCTTGCTACAAAATTCAACTCTCTAAATTGCTCTTTCAATCCGACTTGGATTTAATCACTGCTTACTGAGTATTGATCACATTCCAAGCAAGGCAGTGTTCCAATGCTTTCCTATAGATTGCCTTTACTTCTTTCAGTAGTTTTACTCCTAAAAGTTTACTTTCTCTTGAGGCCATCTGCTGTTCAGGGGATCTAAAGGTTCCTGTATTATCTACACAGATTCACTGTGGAACAGTCACAGTACAGGGGACTCGCAAACCTGTACAAGTCTTTGTTTATAAGGCCAAAAGACTTACCTAAGAAGAAACAAACAGGCAAAGAACCTGCATGGCTCGGGGAAGAGGTTAACTGACCTTATGAAATAGTATGGCCTCTGTCTTATGATGTGTTAAGAAAAGGGCACGAGAAATCCATGACTATTATGTAAGACAGACATGAATGATGACTGTAGACATTTCTACTATTTGAGAGCAATTCACTCCTTGCCCCACAAGAACGAGGACAGTGAAGAAGAGAACTGAAAGGTATGCCAATTAGGAGTACTGTCTTCATTTCTAGTGGCAATGTGGGGGCTCTTGTATCTTTTGGTACCTCAGAGATGCCTAACACCTAAGAAATACATCGTTATCCTTCTTCCTATTCTATGGACTAACAGCATTGATGAGACAGTAGAAAATGAAGTGAGTAAAGCCAGAGAACAAACTGTTTTCCAGACAGGATCTCACTGTGTAAACCTGGCTGGTGTGGAATTCACTATGTAGACAAGGCTGGTCACAAACACACAGGAGCCTCTGCCTCCTGGGTGCTGGGATTAAAGACTTGTACCACCACGTTATACAAGAACAAACTTTCAGTGATGGATTTTTTGTAGGAAACAACATATGATCATTAGAGACACTAGTTAATTTTACACAGGGTCAGCATATCATAGGACTGTGAATCCTCTGTAAACTTTAACAGTCATAAATTTAAGTATAGAGACAATTTTCTATATAGCATTACCTTATACTTTTCAAATATATATACTTTCATATATATATACATACATTCTATATAGCACTTTATACTTTTTAAAGAGTTAATATGAAGACTTCAGTAGATAACACAAGACAGTGATCATTTCAAAAATATATAGGCTCGACAGCACTTCTAAGAAGGAAAAACTAGTGGGTGCATGCAAGACACAGTTCTATCAGTCCCAAACTGTATTTTCATGAGTGAACTTCATGTGTTAAGAAAAACAGCTTACCTGGCATGGTGGTATACACTTTTAATATTAGCACTAAGAAGGCAGAAGGAGGTGGATCTCTTTGTGAGTGTGAGGTCAGCCAATGCATGCACACACATACATTATGTATATATTATATATAGTAGATAGTGTATATGATATATCAAGTTAATCTACAGGAAAACAGATTCTGAGGCGTATTATTGAAAACAAATGATGGTGTTAGGTACCTGGAAAACTGGAAAACACTGGAATCCAGAGACTTAAGGTGAAGAGGTGATCTGTTTTCTTCCCCACCAGATGAAAGCAGCCTGGGGCTATTGATTCGCTCACAGCCCATCGTCTTGTCAGTTAGGTCACCCATCTCTTGTGTAGTGGGAGTCTTTAGTGGATTGCTGAGGACCTAGCAAAAAAAGAAATAGTTCATAAAAATCCCAAGTTTGAACAAAATACCAAAAGCTGTGTCAATTCTTCTGATGCTAGGAAAGAATGCTTGACCAAATAAAAATAAGCTGTTTCCTAAACAGAACAAACAGTGCACCGTAATGTACACTGGAACACTGAACCCAAACACAGTCAGTCACTAACCTTATCAGCTAGACACCACCAGACTGCTCCCAACTCTTGTATTGGTTACTTGACCTAGCCCACCCACAACACAAACCCAGGCCCCAGTCGCCGTCTACTGTGCTCTTGCGACACAGGTGAAGGCTGGGCTTTCATCCTTTCGAGCTCTGTGTTGAAAATATGGGTGGAAAGGAAAAGCATTGCAGCAAGTATCTGCTGGTTTAGGAGAGACACATGCCAGAGGCTACCACATGTTCACAGTGCACACAACAGAGACATGCACCTGGGATCTGGTAGGAGCCAGCATATAAAGAAAATAGGAATAATCAGGGTCAAAGAATAAAGGGAAGGCAAACTGAATGAGGACAGGGCAGTCCTGGAAATCCCAATCTCAGTATAGACATAGGACATGAAACATGGTTGCTCGTAAGCCTCAGTTTGAGCAGGGTACGTGAAGAAGCGTTAGTAGTCAACTGCCTCTCTCCTCACTAGTCTGACCTGCCCGACTGGGGAAGGAAGTGAATCTAACATGCGACTAGCAGATCTCTGGGAAATAGGGTCAAGAGGGAAATCATGCAGAAAGGCAAGGAGGGGTGGGAGAGATAGATGGGTGCTATGGTGGCTGTCAGGAAAGGAGTGTCCCTGAAAGGACGGCCAACCTTATTGCACCCTTCAGCGTCCGGAGCTGGGCAACCATGTCCGAGAGACAGTGCTCCTGAAAATTCAAAACAGCAGAGTCTTTATAAAGCCAGCCAGCCTGAAAGCAGGGATGAGGGGGGGCGCGGGGAGGCACAAAGAACCAACCCTTCTTCCCAAGAGAAAAGAGGAAGAAATGATCCCTGAATCCCAAAAGAAAGGAGACAGGAAAACCAGACACTCAAGAGGAGCAGCTTATGAAGATGGCACACAAGTGTTATGTGATACCAAATGTGTCATTCCCACTGCCCAGAATCAGTACGAGTCCAAATCTGGAAAATAAATGACATGACTCTTCTGTTGAGTGATCTGAACGTCAACAACAGAAGATCAACACCAACTCCAAAGATCCAATCCAGAGAAAAGAGCATGAGAAGAAACCCTCAGCAATGCTACGCAGTGTCCTTCAACCTAAATCCTGTGTGGAGGAAAATGGTGTGAGAAGAGGAAGAGATGGACCTGTCTCTCACCTGGTGCTTGTCACCTTCCACAGGCTGCTGCTTCTTCTCAACAGTTTCATCTCTAGAAGATAAAAAGTGCTATTTAGATTCTGGAGGCCAATGTAGGAGGGTTGCAAGCTCAAAGCAAGCCTGGTCTACAGAGTGAGTTACAGGTCTGTCTATGCTATGTACTGACACTGTCTCAAAATTACGTGCTATTTAGTTCACTCATGAAGTTCACTGAGAAACTAGGGCTATATTCCTGAATTATGCTACTGGAGAGATTTCAAATTCTCATTCTCTCTGTGTGTGTGTGATGATGTGTGTGTGCGCATGCGTGTGATGGCATCTGTGTGTGTGTGTGTGCGTGTGTGTGATGGTGTGTGCGTGTGTGTGATGGTGTGTGATGGTGTGTGTGTGATGGTGTGTGCGTGTGTGTGATGGTGTGTGTGTGCGTGTGTGCGTGCTTGTGTGCGTGCGTGCGTGTGTGTGCGTGTGTGTGTGTGTGTGTGTGTGTGTGTGTGTGTGTGTGTGTGTGTGTGATGGTGTGTGTATGTGTATGAGGAGCAGGGAGGAGAATGAAGGAGGAGACAACGACAAGTTGATGTATTCTGGATTATGTGACAGTTAGGAGGAGCAAGCACAGAGCCCTCCAAAGAACTCTCCCTTCTCAAATCCCTTGTCTTATGCCAGGGAGAGCGGTTCCTCCACTCTGGGATGTAGAGCATCATCTCACATATACTCAACTGTTGCTTAGCCTTGCTCAGGTATAAGTCTTCCATGCGTTCTTGTTCTTCTGGAACAGAGCATCTCCTGTAGTGCAGAGAGGAAATCATCTTTCAGAAGCAAAGCATGGTCCTAGCTTTTACTCTCTACTTCCCTTAAGGGCAGCTTAATGATAGAGCAGCTTAACAAGTGGGTAACAGTATACAGTTTGGATCCCATTCACACTACAAAAGCTAGCTATATGTATAGCACTGAGAAGGGAATCTCGGGAGAAGAAACCAAAAGCACAAACAAATTTATTCGGTGGCCAAAAGTAATCCTAAGAAAATGACAAACAAAAATGAGTATCAATTGGAAATTGCATTATATTCATTTTGCAAGGGAGTAAAGTGACTTAGAAGGTTCTCTCCTGGCCTAAGTGTGAACAGATAAAAGATAACATATTCAAAAGAGGAAAACATTAACAAAGAAACTTCTACTAGTCAATTTCATAACCTGACCACACAGTCTCATTTCCTTTCCATAGAAAGGTGCTTAGGCACATGTGGAGACTATGAGGGACGCTTACAAATTACAGACCTAGCCTTCATTCATGTCTTTTCTTCCACTCTGGACATTTTCTCTAAAAAGCGTACTCTGTTGGATTACCTTCTTTTCCCAGCATGTGGTCGGCAAAAGGAAGAATATGTAAAAGATCCCAGCTGGATTGAAGCAGACTGACTTACTAGGAACATAACGTAACTACTGAGTAATGTCAGGCACTGTTTAGATGTTGGCACTATAAGGAACATATGGCACATTAGAACACAAGCAAGCCAACAAACAGTAGTGAATGTGAGACAGATCCTATTGACGTTGAGTCTACAGAGGAGACATAGGAAAGCTATTGACTCCGTGTGGAATGTAAGGGACTCAGTCTTAAAGAATTTCAAAGCTCTTGTGGAATTAAACAAACTGAACACCACAAAAAAATGCCCCCAAATAAAAAATGGCATATGAACAAAAGTCAAGAATTAAATGCTGCAGGGGGTCAGAGTAAAATCATTGAAAATTGCTATCGAGAGGAAAAGTTGTTACCAAAGAGTTCAGCTCCTGAGACTGCTATGATTTGAATAGGAGCATGGAATACAGAAAGTCACTTCAATCAAAAGAGACGACATTAGCAAAGTCACAGAGGAGAGACTAAGCATGAAGTATGTAGGGAGCGGTGCCTTGAAGGGCTGTGGTCAAGTACAGTGAAAATAAGGTTAGATGCTGGTTAAGATGGGGCCAGTGAGTAAGGGGCCTGAATACCAGGCTACAGAAGGTAAACCTGATCTGAAGTGGTTCTGTGAAATAGGAGGACAGATGAGGAGTTAGGGAAAGAATAATGAGTCCTAGGACCTGACCTGTATTTTGGATGGGGATTATAGTAACAAAACCATCTTGCAGGTAATGTGGATGGATCCACCTTTCCAGGAAGTTTCCTCCACTTCAGGCATTCATCACACTGTACCCATGTCTGGTCAGGAATCTTCCTGGGTGAGGAAAACCAGAAATGTTATTGTATAGATCCTAGCTCTGTGCTTTCTCCTACACTGAAAAGGTATGTCCTAAAAATGAAAACAAGAAATTTATGTGGAAAATAGGCTAGAAATCTTACATTCTCAATGTCTGAAATGTGTATATTTTGAGCAACATAGATAACTATTCCAGATGTGGATATAAAACATATTAATCTGCCATTATCTCTAGAGGTTAATAATATTTATTCTGGAATCCTTTTTTGAGAAAATAATGGGATAATTTTACCGCTGAGATTTATTAACTTGAGAAAAGTATGTGTATCACACATTGCTATAAAGAAATAAAACCCATCAAATTGTTATATTTCCTTATCCAATCACTGAACAAATTTTAAATGTATTTATAGGAGGCACAGAAGCACTGTCATCAAAATCTCTCCTCCACTTCCCTGAACACTTCTGATTTCTCTCACTGTCATCAAAATCTGTCCCCCACTTCCCTGCACACTTCTGATTTCTCTTTTTCCTTTCAAAAACAGTTCTTTGGGTTTAGGGATGTAGTTCAGCGAACAGCTTTGCCAAGCACACACAAGGCTCCAAGTTTGAGCTCCAGCATCACGTCCAAACCATGTATTTATAATGCTGCAATCACATTACTATGTTGATATTCCCAACATCCATCATAAAAGGCAATATAATGTGATTAAACTTCCTAACTATAAATGATGGCTCCAACAATTGGTTGAAATTATTAAGATAAACTCATCCATAGTTGAACTCTTCAAATGCATATCCACCCTCATCAATTCCAGAAGTGTGTAACCCAATCACTGTAGATGAAAGTGAATTCATTTTCCTGTAGAAAGGAGTAGTGAAAAGTTGTACTGGAGAGAACAAAGGCTGATGAAAAGACACAGGAATGAGAGAGGCACCTCTGGCCCAGTTTACCACCAGGGTGAGTTTTGTGTTATGCTGTATTTTACTGTTCTTCTACTGGACTATTCAATAAAGTGGTATGGTTCTTTTATGACTTCTTTCAGTAATTTTTCATTGTTTTAAATCCGGCTTTTTTATTTCTAGTTATAAAAGTAACACCATCCCATTATGGAAAACTAGAAAAAAGAGAAATATACAAAGATGGAAATGAAAGGTACTTGTGCCACTCAAATGCAATGTCCTCTTTTTAAAAAATCCTTTCAGTCACGCTTTCTCAAACTTTTGCTGTTGCTGGAACTCCCCGTTTCTTTTTTCCCCTTTGTTTCTCAAACTCCCCGTTGCTGTAACTTGCTCTACACTTGCAACCTTGAAGCTCTAAGGTCAGGCCTGACCTCTGCTGTCTGCTATTTCCACCCCGCTACAGAGCCAGAGCCCTTAGAAAGCAGTTTCAGAATAAGTGGAAGAGAAGAGGAAAGGTCGTGGTAGCTTTGGTTTTTGATGTATTTGCACAGAAGAATGTCTTGCAGAAAGATGCCTGTATTATTCGTGAGGACAAGAACACTAAGAGGCAGCAGCTACAAACAGACCATGGTGGATCCTTCAACCCAGGCAGAGAGAAGGGCTTTAGAGCTTCTGTTTGTAGAAAATAGGAAATTAAAGGAGCTATACTATATCGCCCTTGTTATATCCCTCCAGAAGAGTGTGGCTTCAGGGACCTGGTTGCTTAATTTGAACCTTAGCTCTACTGTGTTCTACTTGTCTACTCCTGTGTAAAGGATATACGTTCTTTGTGTACTAAGCTTTATATCTGCAAAGTGAAAATAGCTGTATCCTGAGAGTTTTGTGGGTTGTTAAATTATTACATGAAAGGAACTAAGAACAATTCTGGAATTTAAGTAAATACTCAATAACTAATCTCTATTATTAAAATTCTGCTGCTAGAGAAACACTTAAGGAAATGTTCAACATCCTTAGCCATTAGGGAAATGCAAATCAAAACTACTTTGAGATTCCATGTTATACCCATCACAATGGCAAAGATCAAAAACACAAATGACAGCTTATGCTGGAGAGAATGTAGAGTAAGGGAACACTCCTCCACTCCTGGTGGGAGTGTAAACTTGTACAGCCACTTTGTAAATCAATAAGGCAGTTTCTCAGAAAACTGGGAATCGATCTAGCTCAAGATCCAGCTATACCACTCCTGGGCATATACCCAAAGGATGTTCAATCGTGCCACAGGGACACTTGCTCAACTATATTCATAGCAGCTTTATTCGAATAGCCAGAACCTATAGACAACCTAGATGCCCCTCAACAGAGGAATGGATAAAGAAAATGCGGTACATTTTTACAATGGCGTATTACTCAGCTGTTGAAAACAACATCAGGAAATTTGAAGGCAAATGGATGGAATTAAAAAAAATCATCCTGGTATGTACTAACTCATAAGTGGATATTAGCTGTAAAATAAAGGAAAACCATGATACAATCCACAGACCCAGAGAGGCTAGGTAACAAGGAGGGCCCAAGTGGGGACACATGGATCTCTCTGAGAAGGGGAAATAGGAGAGATCTCCTGGGTGAGCTGGGGGCAGGTGGGGATGGGAACTTGAGGGATTTGGTTTGGGTGTGGATGAGGGAGAGTGCTGAGAGAGATGACTGGAAAAGGGGGCGCATTTCAGGGTCAGGTAGAAACCTGGTGCAAGAAAACTCCCAGGAATCTACAAGGATGACCCCAGCTAAGACTCCTAGCAATAGTGGATACACAGCCTGAACTGGCCTTCTTCTGTAATCAGATTGATGACTAGCCCAATCGTCATCAGAGAGCCCTCATCCAGTAACTGATGGAAACATGCAAAGACCCACAGCCAAACATTAGGCCAAGCTTGTGAATCCTGAAGAGAGGGAGGGAGGAAGGATTATAGGAGCCAGAGGGGTCAAGGACATCACAAGAAAACCCACAAAAACAACTAACCTGGCTCATAGGAACTCACAGAGTCAACAACCAGGGAGCCTGCATGGGCCTGACCTAGGCCCTCTACATATATGTGACAGTTGCATAGCTTGGTCTACTTTTGGGACTCCTAACAATGAGAGCAGGGGCTGTCCCTAATGCTTTGGCTGGCTCTTGGAAACCTACTCCTCATACTGATTGCCTTGCCCAGTCTTAATTTAATACAAGGGGAGGTGCTTAGTCTAACTGCAACTTGATATGCTATGCTTTGTGGATACCCATGGGAGGCCTGCACCTTTCTGAACAGAAACAGGAGTGGATTGAGGTGGGGGGCGAAGGGGAGGTGGCAGGAGAGGAGGGAGGGGAAACTGCTGTCTGGATGTAAAATAAATAAATATAATAATAATAATTTTAAAAAGGAAAAATTCTGCTGCTAAATCTTACATGTACTAGCAATATATGAACATCTGTTGTACTATATTAATTATTGCTAATTTGAAAGGCAAAATGGCATCTCATCTTAATTCAAATTTTTGGCAAAAATGGAGAACTGATATGAGCTGAGATATTTAGAATAATGTAGAAACATACACACAGCATTCAGATTGCATTTGAAACAAAATTTTGTACCATACATTGATCTAGTAGTTTCTATTTAAAAAAGTAGAAGCCTCCCCTCATATGAGAGGGGCAGTGTAATCTCTAACACTTTAATATTTAGCTTGGTGATGTTATAACTAACTGTGTGTATGCTGTTATGCAGCCTGCCTTCTGTCCTGATCTCTTTCTCCTCACCTACCTCTACTTTTTTCTGTTTCGTTCTCTATTTCTGCTCTAAAATATCAGCTCAGTCCCAATAAAATTTAGCAAGGATGAAGAGGAAGCAAGTTCGTTAACTCTGAACACATACTCTGTGCCATGTACTGCTCTAAAATCATAGAGCCTAATTCAATACAAAAAAGCAAAGTGACTCACTTACCAAAGTGCACACAACTATCAAGAAGCAGGTCGAGACTTTCCACTGAGGAGTGTTTGATTTAAATGCCCACTATATTAGTCTCTCCTAAACTGCCAGCATTAAATCCCTCACATTTATGACCCAAACCACGTAAGTCTTAAAACAGAATAAAGAGGTAAAATGATGTAATTAGTACCTGTGCTTTCTTATTGCTAGATAACTAACCTTCCTGATGTGAAAAACATTAGTTTATCCTTGTTTCTTCCATTTGATGGAAGGACATTACCCTTAATGTTTCCATATTCTACATTTTATTACTTATGGTACTAGCCTGGATATAGGTAAGTTCTCAAAATTCTCTTGAGATGTTTTTTCCTTCCAATAAGCATTGAGTTTCTGGGCAAGAGCACTCATTGTCAACCTGAAAGAAAATGCAAAGAGTATGTCAAGGTTCAGCACTTGAATAATTTTTATCTCTCAGAAGCTCCTGTTGAACAGAATCCAGCAATTTAGAACAGTCAGCATAATTTTGCATACCTACAACTTAAAAAACTAACATAGGCATCTACTGCCTTTGGAAAATCCTATAATAAAACCATAATGAAAACTGTAACAGAAAAAAACGTACCATAATGTTAATATCATAACGATAGATAGTCACTTTGGCTGTGAAGTTAAAATGGTTGTAAGATCCAAAAAAGTAGAATGGTCTAGATTCTTTTTAAGGCTTATAGAATCATGGAGTGAGTATGTTGTTGTCATTAGAGACTATGATAGAATGAGGACAGAGATAAATACTGATGAATTATTAAATTTTCAGATGATAATAGGAACATCATTCAGAATCAAATAGGAAAATTAGAGGCTCATACATAAAACCTTATCAAAAAATCAATCAAATATTAGCTTCATCTATCTTTCGAGTTCCTCTGCATCCAAACCCTAATCATAGTTGCACAGCACTAACATGGAAAATCTCTCTTCAACATTTTTCTACAACACTGCTATTAGAAGTGTAATCTGAGTTAGCGTTCTTGTCTAATGAATAATTCCTATTAAATTTTATCCCCCAGGATTGCAGTTTAATGCAAATGTACACATACCTGGACCACTATAAACTCGAGAGATTTTAAACCTCTCTTCACCCTCGGGATCATTATTGGGCGTTTTTGCAGATTTCTTCTTCAGCATACCTTTTCCTTACTGCCACCTTACTCATTTTAAATTAAATTTTCACTATATACACGAGATTAAAATAATCATAGACAAGTTCCTGTATTAACCCATCCCTCTCCTACTACCAGGGCTCCCACCTCTCTGTTAATAGCCTTCCCTCCAGCCATACAGAGAGCTATATGCTCTGTTCCCTCTTCAAGGTCTACTTGATAAAGACAATTTGATGGGCTCCTGGAAGGATACGTAGGAGACAAGTGGAATCGGTCTCCTTGCCTAGGTAACAACTGCACCGGCAGAACCTGCCTGATTAGTCACAGAGAAACAGGACTAATAAGGAAAATGCTCCTTTGACATTTTACTGCACAGCTGCTATAGGAGCCTGAATCTAATCCAGTTAATATTTAACGATCAGTATTTCAGAACACTTAGATGGCAAATTGTGGTTAATGTTGGTCCATTTCTGTTCTTAGCAGAGTAATAACTGTGCATTCTCCACCTCTAGTGCCATGACAGAGAGTCATGCAGGTGTTCCACAAGCCACTTATAAGAACCATGATAGAAAAAAAGGTTACCATCCTTCTCATTGCTACTATTTTTGATCACAGAACGAGCAAGGGGCTTTTTCTGTTATATTCTCCATGATTACAATTTTCTCCTCTAGCTGAAATGATGTCCAGGACATTTAAAGTGATGGAACTTTATTTTCACCTCTTCGTATTTTTTCTGTTTAGGGAGCCAGATGTTAAAAACGAAGATATTTGAAAGCATGAACACGTACATAAATACATAAGCATATGCATACATATATATATACACACAACCACACATATATGCACATATAGAAAATTAGAAAGTCACTATGAATTTCCAAAGGAAAATACAGGTTCAGAAAACAAGTGAGAAAACTTAAGTTTACATACTACCTGGTCCTGGTACAGAGACAGCTTACAGCAAACCACACCACTGACATCAAATAAACAAAAACAACACAGCAAATCCTGTGAAAGGGGCAAATCTCATTTCCAGAATTATTGTATTATAAAAAATCACAGTGCCTACAAAGAAACACGAAAATATGGTATGATCAAAGAAAAATGAAATCCAAAGAAACTGTCTCAGAAAAAGTGCTGGGTTAAAGATGCTCAAAAAACCCAAGGAAGGGGTGAGGGAAGTCAAGTTCAAAGAGTTTTTGAACAAAATGGAAATGGCAATAAGGAGACAGAAAACCTGAAGAAAAAAAAAAGAACTGAAATAAAATGTAGAACTGAGTAGAATAGCTAAAACAGACAATTCACTTGATGGATTCAAAGGCAGGACAGACAGAAGGATCTGGGAACTTAAAGAAATTACTGAAATTGAGGAACAATAAGAGAGAAAATTGAAGAGATAGAAACAAAGCCTGAAGGATGTGGGAGGCACCACCAGTGGTCCACGATAGGCACTGTAGAGGTCTAATTTGAAAAGAGAGACTGAGGCATCTTAAACGTAGTCTCTGTGATAGCCACATGGAAAATAGCTAGATAATGTATATAAAAGGAAACAAGAAAATAATTGAAACATTCTACTATAAAACATCACCTAAACATAAAACACAGCAATGTAGGAAATGAGAGGCTATAAAACATATTGCCAAATGACAGAAATCTTCCCTTACCAATGATTACTTTAAATATAAATGGATTCAACCCAAATTCACAAATACATGATGCAATATAATGTGACAAAAAGAATACAGGTCACCCAAGATGGTTCAGTGGGTAAGGCTTATCATCAAGCTTCATGTCCTGAGCCTGCATATGCTCACACGTGTGCGTACATACACACAAATAAATATTTTTTAAAAATTCAATATAAAATAATATGGCAGATTGTGGTGCCTATAAACTGAGTACTACTATAAAAAATACTCTCAAAATGAGAAAGTTGATTTGGAAATGAAATTTGGCAACCTGGGACATTTCAGGGGATCAAAATGAGAAAGCTGATTTGGAAATGAAATTTGGCAACCTGGGACATTTCAGGGGATCAGGAGTTCAAGTCGGCTTTGGCTGTACAGTGATCTTGAGGCTACACAAGACCCTGTCTAAAAACAGAATAAAAGGAAAAGAAAGAAATCTGGCAAAGGCTTGAGAAACATGCCAGAGTCTAAACTGCACTGCGCAGACTGTGAACAGATACATGGATGTTAACTAAACTGGGGAGGGCTCAGAAGGAAGTGGAGAATCATGGTAGAGAAGAAGCTAAAGATTGCCTTAAAGAATGCCTAAATCACAGTAAGCAGAGTTAGAAATACAGATGTTAAAGACACTACTAATCAAGGATCAGGGGAAATGAGCCAACACGTTACTGGAAAATCTGAAATATAACCCTAACTACATAGTCCCAGAAAGCTTAGCAGAAACATGTCCTGTAGATCCATGGAAAGCACAGCTTGTAAACGATGAATTTGTACATTTGGCCGAGGAGCTCTCCAGATAAACTGCTGAAGCTGTGTCCTCTGGATGATCGTGTAAAATGCATGAAAGAAAAAATAAATGAAAAGAACTGATAATGGAAAAGGAACCAGAATTTGACAATCTGGAATATTCTCAGTCAGTCAAAACCACAAAAGATATTAAAATGTACAGATTCATTGCTAGGACTCTGAGCTCTCTGAATGAAGAGTAGGGTTGGACAATCATTAGCTAGTATCTCAGTCAGATCAAAACGTCAAAATATTCAGTCACATATAAGGCTCTTTGGGAATACTAAGGATGTGGCTCATAGACCTTCACAACCATCTCAGTTGAGGCCAAGAAGAGAAATAAGATTGTCTAGGGAAGATCAGTCAAGAGCCTCTTGTTAAACGGAATGAATAATCATCACATCCATGGAAGACCTACAAGGTTTGGAAATGTCAGGAGCACAAACACTTCCAGCTCCGATTAATGGGGGGAGGGGATATATAAAGAAAGAATCCTACTGACCTTTAAAAAATGTATAAGTATTGTCAATATTATACAGATTGAGGAAGCTGTAATTAGGACTATTTATGTATACATGCATACACATGTGTATATCACAATGACTACTGAAAAAAAAAGAAGCCATGAATTTGAAAGAGAGCAAGGAGGGGTATATGGGAGGATTTTGAGAGAGGAAAGGGAAGGGGAAAATGATGCAATTATATTATCATCATAAAAATAAATAACTAAAAAGACCCTAGTGAAGATAAAATTGATGAAACTACTCTGCTGTAAAAATATACTAGTCTTGCCGGGCGGTGGTGGTGCACGCCTTTAATCCCAGCACTCGGGAGGCAGAACCAGGCAGATCTCTGTGAGTTCGAGGCCAGCCTGGTGTACAGAGTAAGATCCAGGAAAGGCGCAAAGCTACACAGAGAAACCCTGTCTCAAAAAAACAAATATATATATACATACATATATATGTATATATATATATATATATATATATATATATATATATATATATGTGTGTGTGTGTGTGTGTGTGTGTGTGTTAGTTTTCATGAACAGATAATTTAGAGAGTTGAACCATAGCCCAGAAGGCAGAGCTTCAGTGGTAGGGAGGCAGTGTTGTAAGCCCAAGAAAATCATGGCTGGTCTTTGGTATTTATTGGTATTTGCCTAGCTGGACTTATGAAATTGCTTGGTACCTGTAACTCTTTTTTTCTTCTCAGTTTAAACTCACTGGACATAGAACTTTTAGATAATTGGTATCCTGTACATCTTCTGCTATTATATTTCAGCAGTAAAGGTGTGTGTGTGTGTGTGTGTGTGTGTGTGTGTGTGTGTGTATGTGTGTGTGCCACAGATAGAGAAGAATATTATCCCCATGTACACCAGACTCAGAAAAATGTGATTTAGATATGAAATATGGGACTTTTGAGCTGATGACATTTAGCTAAGACTTTAGACTCTGAAACTTTTGATGATGTTGGGATGGGATAGAGCCATTACTTTCTGAATGTGAGAAATAAATCTTGGAGCCTCAGAGAACAGACTGACAAATAGAATAATAGTCTTTCAAAGATGTCTAGGTCCCAATTCCTAAAATCTGTGAATATCATAGGTTACACACAATAAGAGAGAAACTGTTACTCATGGGCTGACCTTAAAGTAGGAAAAGGATTCTAAATGATCCAGTGTCAACCACAGGCCTTCAAGTGTGGAAGAGTGAGGCAGAGGAGTCAGAATCAGAGGAGGCAATATGATTCTGAAAGTAAGCTGACTGGAATGATGCAATGTGAGGAGGATGCAACTCATCACTGCCGACTTTGAAGTTGGAGAAGAGGGCCTTGGGCCAGGGAATGCTGGCAGCCTCGAAAGTTGGAAAAGAAAAGGAATCAGATTCTCCCCTAGAGCCTCCAGAAAGGAAGACAGCCTGCCAACACCTTGATTTTAGCCCAGTGAGATCTGAGTCAGACGTCTAACCTAGAGAACTTAATACAGTCAATTAGTGTTGTATTAAGCCACTAAATTTACGGTAAATTGTTACAATAGAAGATGCTTTCTGCTGTTTGTAGACAGAAGTTGAGTACCACTGTTCTTCCCTAAAATGTAAATTATTGCCTGATTCCTCTGAATCCATTAGCTATAACTTGGCACATAGTTCAGATATAGGGGTTCTAAGAAAAGGGTGTGCCAACTATAGCCTGGAAGGTAAATCCTCCTCACTGCCTGTTTTGTGAACAAAATTGTACTGGCACAATATTCGCTCCTTTACTTACTGTCAATATATACTTTCATACTATGACAGAATCAAGTTGGGTAAGAGACTGTGTGGCCTACAAAAGCCTAAATAGTTCTCTCTGGCCTTCTCAGAAAATATTTGCCAATCTTGGCTTTAGGATCTGGTCCTACATTATCATTTTGTTTGATTTTCTTCACTTTAGTATATCACCTTATCTCCATTTTCCCTTCGGAGTTCCTGTCAATACAGCAGTAGCTCCTGCCACAACTGTGTACCAGAATTCCCTTCCTTTTCTACATCCTGTATCCTTTTAATTTGTTCATTATTTATTTATACGTGTGGGTGTTTTCTCTGCACGCATGTTTGTACACCCACATGTGTGCCTTGTATCCATGGATGCCAGAAGTAGCTGTTGCATCCCCAGGAGGTGGAGTTACAAACAGTTGTGAGCCATCATGTGGGTGCTGGGAATTGATTCTGGGTCATTTGGAAGAGCAGCCAGTGCTCTTAACCACAAAGCCAACTCTCCACAGCTATTTTAAGGAATATCTCTTTCATTTGTTTGCTTTTTTTCGAGACAGGGTTTCTCTCGGTAGTCTTGGCTGTCCTGGAACTCACTCTGTAAATGAGGCTGACCTCAAACTCAGAGATCCATTTAAGGCGTATTTTAAGTTGTATCATGTACCTAAAACTTTACTTATCTGTCTCATCAGAGCATTTTACCTGTATAGAAGCAACGAGGTCTATGAGCCATTTTACTGCTATTTAGCTGTTTTCAATGTGTGAGATAATCTATTATTACAAATAGAATGCAAAGCCCTAAGTTAAGGTAAGCAACTCTGTTTTGAAATTCTTTGGAAGATTCTACAAAACCTAGTCCATGTCTTATGTGTTAATGGCTTGTTCAGTTAATACGCTTTGGTTGCATTTTTTTAAGGTGAAGTTGACTCTAAAAATGATTTAAGCCCATGATATTTATAGCTAAAATCTAATATCCAGATTGCTCAAAGTGATGCAGTACAGATTATTTCTTTGTAGATATTCTAGTAGTGTGATAGCCTGTAACTCTTCTCATCTGCACTTTTGCATTTGTAATAGTCACAGGAGGAATTTGTGACAGCTAACAATGTTCTCGAATCCTTCTTCAAATTCCCACTCTTTTAGAGGGACAAGGGGAATGGAGGGCCTTGCTACATAGATGAGGCTTTCCAAGAACTCATTATGTAGCTCAGGCTGGCCATGAATTCACAACCCCATTGTCATAGCCCCTGGGATTAGTGGTCTATGCCCCCATATCTGGTTTCAAATTCCCATGCTTTTACCTAAAATCTTTCTCACTTTGTATGAAATTTACATAAAGGGCAATAGGGCTGGGGACATAGCTCAGTAGTAGAGTTTGTGCTCACATACACAAGTACCTGGGTTCAGTCCCCAGCATAAGGATATAGGGCATGGTGATTCATTCTTATCAGCATAGCACTTGTGAGATGTAGTCAGAAAATACAAGAATTCAAACCTACCTTCAGCTACAGAGTGAGCTTGAGACAAGCATGAACTCTATGAGATCTTGTCTTGAAAGAGAAAGTGGGGCTAGATAGGTGACTCAGTGGTTAAGTGCAGTTGCTGCTCTTGGAGGACCCAGGTTCAGTTCTCAGCACCCACACAGCAGCTCACAACTGTCTGCAACTTCAGTTCTAGGGGATCTGATGCCCTTCTGCCATGCCCCAGCAGCAGGCACACATGTGATACACATATACACATGCAGGAAAATGACTCACATACATAAAACAAAAATAACTAATTTAAAAAGAGATGTCAATGATGCCTGAACTGGGTAATAATTAGCAAATTTATTATGCACAAGACTCTATGTATGTTAGTATTGTCATTCTGTTTTTCATAAAATAAATATACAGTAACTATTAAATTACTTAAGCAGAAATCCTACATGTTTATAGAATGCCTTTATTTGAACTCTCTACAATCTCCTCAAATTCTCTCTACAATTTCCTCAAATTCACACCAAAACTAGGCATCAAAAATCAAAGGTCTAATGTATCCAAAAGAAAAAAATATAGATTTTTATCGTGATATGTTGGCAACAATAATATGGAAAGCTGTTAAAACATTTTATTATCTAACATTTGGATTTCACAAATATTATTTAGGTAATTATCATAAATTTATCATTTTCACTCAAAAGAATGAACATTTTGTTCCATTAAGCCAATGTTATTTCTAAACTTCCACATTTAGGAGACAAGTCTTGGTCAAAGGTCTTCATTATGGGTCAGACTCCCATTTAAATGATTAATTTATTTGGATCCAGGGCACACCGTTGCCATAACCACTAACAAGCCTGAGTGAGTAAAACCCAACTATGCTGAAATGAATCTGGGACTGCCATTCAAATCACTGTCTCTTTGTCAAACCCTGCATCTAAAGTTCTTATGGTCTCATATAAATGAAGGAACATTTAATTTTGTTGTAGCTTAGAGCACAAAAAACATTTCTGAGAAATGATTTTTCCTCCCACTCTTAGAAAAAAATACTGCTGAGAATTTAAATAGAATGATACCCAATGTTCTCACATTTTCTCTTTCTTCATATTAAAGAACACTCTTTACCTTTCTGTGCCATTACCTGTACTCTGCTTAGAACAGTGGTTCTCAACCTGCGGTCAGGACCCCTTTGACAAACTGTCTCCAAATATATTTACATTACAATTCATAACAGTAGCAAAATTACAGTTCTGAAATAGCAACGGAAATAATTTTATGGTTGGGGGATCACCACAACATGAGGAACTGTATTAAAGGGTCACAGCATCAGGAAGATTGAGAATCACTGGCTTAGAATACCCTTCTCTTTAGTTTACCTAGAAAACATCAACTTTTCCTTTAAGTTTAAGCTAAAATATAATCTGTTTTGTGAAGCTTTCCTTGATCTTCTTTAGTCATATTTAAGTTCTCCTCAGTCAGGCAGTGGTGGTGCACACCTTTAATCCCAGCACTCGGGAGGCAGAGGCAGGCTGATCTCTGTGAGTTTGAGGCCAGCCTGGGCTACAGAGCGAGTTCCAGGATAGCCAGGGGTACACAGAGAAACCCTGCCTCAAAAAACCAAAAAATAAAATAAATAAATAAAGGTTTTTCTCATCTTGCACACACACACACACATTGATTATTTTATGTGTATTTAAGTCTCATATTTTCATACAGCACATCTGTTCATAACAATCAAGGATTCTAATTTTTCATCCTGTGTCCTTTACCTAACACATGAAAGGTAACAAATCTAGGGTCTCATGTGTGCTAAGCTAGCATTCTATTACTGACCTGTATCCTAAATCCCAAACCTACTTTCAACCCGATTTAACAACTCCTATTGGTTTAACCTCACTGTCAAGTTCCTTTCTGATTCTGAGCTCTGCAACTTCCCAAGATGCTTCCAGGAGAGCACACATCGCTTCCTTGTTGTTCTAACATCTCCAAACGTGTTCACTGGCTTCAAGAAAACTCATGGGGCCAATTGTGATTTCTCTCTCCAAAGTGTGCTCCATAACTTTAGATTCATTTGCTTCAGGACGACAAGACAAGGCCCTTCATTTTATCAGAAATATTTTATCAAAATACTCCTATATTCTGTAATTTCTAAAGGTACAGTGAAAAAGCGCAAACTCCTCTCTATTCCTGGAAAACACACTGGAAGTCATTCTCAGTTAACTTGTCTGGCTGGCTTTTAGTGGGGCTTTAGAGACTTCCGAGAGCAGAATGGTAGCTGAGCAACTGAGCTAAAACATCTCAGGTTGAGAGTGACTCACCGGTACTCCTTGGTGTACTCAAAGTCTTGTTTGTTGTAGGCAGGTTTTAGGAAATTGCACTCAATGACTCCAATTACTCCCACACCTTCTCCACAAGTTGGCTTAGAAGAAAATGTTAATTTCAACACATTACTATTGATGGCCTAGAGGCATTTCCTTTTGATTCCAAAAAATAATAGAAAAAGTTACACAGTATTTATGGATAAGGAAAGGCCAAGAAGACGTAGAAGAACACTTAGAATATATTTAAATAGACTGAAACCTGACAAGGTTCTAGCGCAGAAATTTCCTTTCTTTTGCTTCTCGTTTGTTGGAAATAGACTTTTTTTTTCATATAATCTACCCTGACTGTGGTTGTCCCTCCCTCTACTCTTCCCAGTTCCTCAGTTCCTCTCCACCTTCCTTCCATCTGGATCCACCCTCTTTCTGTCTCTCAGATTGTTCAGTGATTCACAGATCCCTAGAATTCCCCAACTCTACTAGCTATCTATACTTCATCCACACAACTCCATTTTCATTGTTTTTTATATTCTAGGATTGCCAAGAGGTTCACTGGAATAAAGAATTTACACTGCTAAAAAGCAAGATTACATACTAACGTTCTGCAGAACTGAAATGAAACTTCATTTAAAAATTAGAGGTGTGATTTAATCACCACACGAATCTTATAACATAGGCATTTCTACACATATATAGGCCACCAAGGAACAACCAGAGTCAGAGGTGAAGCCCAAGAGATTTGGGGGTTTTAAAGCTTTCTGTACTCCTTACTAGAATCAAGGAGGAATTCAACTGACACATAACCAGGAGTTGTTTAAAGGTGGTAAAACAAGAAAACCCAAGTTCTCGCAGTTAGCTAGCCTGGGGCTTCTATCACTGTCCTACTATTTGCTATGCTTCAACCATCTAATCTTCAAAACAGGGACAAAACGGTTACTTGTAGAAATCACTTCTTTAGAGGATCATTAAACATCAAAGACAATGGTAGCATCTGTGTAATTTGGCTTATGAAATATTTCATATCATTTATCACACTTACTTTCTTTTAATCCTCTAAATTGAAAGGAAGATAAAGAAAACAATTTCTACTTTACTAGCATAGAAATCGAACCTCAAAGGAATTACTTGATTTATCCAGAAATGTAACTTATAAATAGAAAACCCAGGGCCCAAGTCTTGATTTTCAACCACTAAATTGTATGACCCTCCCAATATACTTTATTTTCTCCATAAGATAATAATTAGTTATCTGACATGTTAATAAGCTGATACACACGGTGTGGCTGGTATGACTGAACTCTGCTCCTTATGAACAGAGAACTAGTTTTTTCCACATAGAACACCTGAAATATTGATCCAGAATTTCAGTATCAGAATCTAGCAATTGTCATGAGATGGGGCTGAGAACCATTAATGAATCTATCTTCCCAGCAATTTAAGAGTCTCTTCCCATTCTTTGCAAGCCCCTATGACAAAACCACATTAAGCACTCACCTTTAACTGGCAGCCCACCTTCTCAAAGGCCTTGATAAGGCGGTTGTTATGATACATCATTATTCCAAACTGGTTATGATATTTGCAAGAGAATCCAAATGTGATTTTCACCTGCTTATTCTGAGAAGAAAATCATTAAGGAGACAAATACCAGAGGCTTCAGGAGAAAGATAAGTATTATATTATAGAAAACAAAAAACAAAAAAATGCACCAAGTGTCACTGCATATGAATGGACAAACTTTCTAGAAGGCATTTAAAAACGCAAGCAATCTCATGCTTCTCTCTCTCTCTCTCTCTCTCTCTCTCTCTCTCTCTCTCTCTCTCTCTCTCTCTCTGTCTCTCTTGGTTTTTTGAGACAGGGTTTCTCTCTGTAGCTTTGGAGCCTTTCCTGGAACTCACTCTGTAGCCCAGGCTGGCCTCGAACTCACAGAGATCGGCCTGCCTCTGCCTCTGCCTCCTGAGTGCTGGGATTATGGTTTTTTTTTTTGTTTTTGTTTGTTTGTTTGTTTTGAGACAGGGTTTCTCTGTGAAACTGTCCTGGCTGTACTGGAACTCACTCTGTAGCCCAGGCTGGCCTCGAACTCACAGAGATCCGCCTGGCTCTGCCTCCCAAGTGCTGGGATTAAAGGCGTGCGCCACCACTGCTTGCTCTACTTTTTTGGCTGCCACAATGTGAGCTAGCTACTCTGCTCCACCATCTCTTTCTTGCACAATGGACCAAATCTCTGAAAGCATGCGCTAAAATAAATCTTTCTTTCCTTAGTTTCTCTAACTAATGGTCACAGAAAAAAAAAAAAAACTTACTCAGTCTCTGTAAACGACAGGCTATGTACATTATACCATATGATAAATGGGTCAGGTACCATGGAAAACATGACAGAATTGGTAAGCCAAGTACTCTAATATATGACTCAGAACATACAAAGTTTTGGGGCTCTAGGAACTCAAGACAAACTTCAAACGAGACCTTATTCCAAAACAACAACAAAAAAAAAAAGACAAAACTTTCCCAAATAAATCAAAATTCTCACACTATAAAACTGACATTTTAAAGATAGTGACTGTCAAATATTTTGTGCTGTACACTTTTAAAATTTTCAGTTTTGGGCTGAGGGTACATTGTGGGAGGAAATGCATGCAATCTGTATGGAGAGCACAGAGAGGGGTAAAGGTGGTTTTTTTGATGACCGAGGAACAAAGAAATCAGTATCGATTACCTTTTTCTGCAGTCATCTCAGGGAAATAATTCCAGTGTTTGGGGGTCTCATTTTAGCCATGCCAACAATGACTCTGTTTAACTAAATTGTCGAATGAGAAGGTAACTGGATTAATAGAAAGGGGGCTGAGATAAATACAGAATACATTCACTGAAGTTGGCCTGATAGAAACCCACAACAATAAGAAGCCACACTCAGGAAAGGGACACATTGTAAAACAGAAGTTGGAAAACATGCAGTTGGAGGGGCTCTGCTAAACGTACAGCACTATGACCCTAGCCTACATAAGGTGAAGTTAGAAACAATTTTCTCACTTGCTAGCTCTGACTCTAAGATGGGCTTGTCTAGGGCTTTAAAAGCAAATTTCCTAGTAGAGAAGGCATGTGTTTCCAAAAGGGGGAAAAAAAATCACTATGAGTAATAATGACACAGTTTATTTTAAATGAGCAATTTCTAATTGTGCCAGTAGGAAAAAAAAGATGAAGTAAAAGAATGTCTTTGATTTTAAAAATGCAGGGAATGTGTCTATAGAGCCAAGAGTTGTATTTTTGATTACTAGAAAATAAAAAAGCTAGGCCGGGCGGTGGTGGCGCACGCCTTTAATCCCAGCCCTCAGGAGGCAAAGGCAGGCGGATCTCTGTGAGTTCGAGGCCAGCCTGGGCTACAGAGTGAGTTCCAGGACAGGCGCAAAGCCTGTCTCGAGGGAAAAAAAAGCAAGTTTTCATAAATACTTGAGTTCTCAGTCTTCTGAAGTCTAGTTTTTTCCCCTTAAAACGCCACCAATGAAGATGGTTAATTAGCATAGTTCATCTCCAGATTGTCCCTAGTTTCTGAAATCCACTGACAGCGCAATGAGGGGTAGAAAATGAGCAAGTGCTCTCCTAGGTGGCTGTCATGAAAAGGTCCCAGGAAATCCATGTTGAGCTTGTTAGTGATTCATCTCCTCCTAGAAATACCTTTCCTTTCCACTAGCTACTCCATATCCAAGTCTAAACCTGGACCTAGTACAACATAAGCTGTAAGATGAACAACTCCAACTAAAACTTTTTAATCAAATGTAATGGGAGTATCTATGGATGGGATTCTCAAATCTGGCTGCTCACTGGCATACACTGAGGATTTAAAAACTAATATCTCCAATAAAAAAGATTTCAAAGCCAGGTGTGGCAGCATATAATTGTAATCTTAGCACTCAGGAGGCTGAGGCAGGAGGATCACCTCAAGTTAAAGGCTAGCCTGTGCTACACAATGCATTTCAGGCCAGTATGGAATACTGTGAGAAGCCCTGTCTCAAAATAAGTAAATAAATAAGTAAAACAATAATAGATTTTAAAATTGATTGAGCCAGTCTTCAAAATCACATGACTCTTATTTAGTAGTCTGCAGTCAGTTTCGGATAAAACCAGTGCACCGACACTTAAAACATTCTTCTTTCAAGGGTAGTGTTGCAGCACCCAATTTTGGATGTTTTAGCACACGATTTTGAATTGGAATAAGGCAGGGTTTGGGCTGTGGACCAATAGAGAGATTTACTCCAGAATGAAGTAGTCAGCTGCATGTAAGGATACCGTGAAGGGAGATTTATATATATCATGTTCCACATCAGCAAGGCTCTTAGCAATCATCTGGGTAGTCACCTTCTTTTGCCGCAGAAAAATCTTCATCCGGGGCTTCATATATAGAACACTACAAAATGCCTATAGATTCATGAATGGAAAATTGTTATGCATATTGCCAATTCTACAGCTATCTCCCCAAAACATCACTAGCCAACTGAGCCTAGGCTTGGCCAATATTTGGCTCAGTTTCTATACTTTTTCACAATACGTTAACTGCCATTTTGAGAGGAAGTGGCTATATTAACTAAACTGCTTCAGTGTAGATGGTGAACATGAATCCCAGCAGAGTATCATCTCTGCACTCCTGCACTTCAGTTCTGTATACAGTGTTTTCATGTTATAGGAAATTGTACTTCCCACTGCTGAAGGACTATTCTTACTCACTCGTAAGGAATACTCTGTTTCTGGCAGCTCGGAGGTAACACCACTGATGTCTTTTTCTTCAGCATCAAAGTCTGATACCAGGATATCATATTGATCTGTATCAAAGTCCAGCTCAGACTTTCCATCTTTGTTTCTAAGTATAAGAGACAAGCACCAATTTAAAAACTGGCTCCAATGCACATGGAGGGGGAGGGGGTGCATTAGGAACCAAACAGAAATGAAATATAAACCAATACTCAGGTGTATGCTGCTTCCCCTGTCTACCACTCCAAAGGAACTACGAACTATGAAATTTGAGGATCACACAATATCTAAGTTGCTCCTATTCTAAATCAATCTACCCTGTTTCATAGTGTTGGTGATGCCAGGTTCATAAGGAAAGAAAAGAAGGAATATGAAATATCTGTGATCTGATGAGTCGAATGGATGTCAGCTTCCCTCAAAGCAAGATCTTAAATATCAGCTTTGTGGGTGCTGCTGAAGATGTCACTAAATATCACTTTTTCCAACTGAATGAACGTATTAATCCAAATCAATTTCTGCTGACTTCAGCAGCAAGATATGAACTAATAAGCTACCAGGATTTCTCCAGATGTAGTCCTATGTCTTTTCTCCACTAAGACTTGGTCTATGTATCCCAGACTGACCCAGAAATTACTATATAGACTAGGCTGGCCTCAAACTCAGAGAAATCCACCTACCTCTTCTTCTGAAGTGCTGTGATTAAAGGCATGCACCATACACAGACACACACAGACACACACTACTACTATCTACTACTACTACTACAGAACATCATCTATTTTCTAGTCCCCTGAAATATGGAAATATAGTGTCCATATAGTAACACTGGGATCCCTTTCATACAGATCTTTCTTATTCTCAGTCTTTCTTGACTACTCAGCTTTCAAAATACTTGAAAGGCTACTTCCCTTCACAACCATAGACAACCTCACCATTCAATATCGGGGGGAAAACCATAAAGGATCACCTTTGTTCCTGGGGAAAAATCCTTAAATTTGTTTTTTAAAAGATGAGTTACAGAGACAATCTCTGTATGGGAACAATAGTTTTCAAAAGTTATTCTGTGGAACAGTAGTCCCTAGATATTCTTAAATAAGGAAAAGAGGAATAAAAGTTATGTGAGCAAATAAAGTTGAGAAACTCATAGCCTGTAGAGAGCCACCTCAAGCTCTAATGTCAACCTCCTTCACACTCCAAGCTCAAGTTCAGAGTTGCTACACTGAAAACTTACCTTCATTCCCAAAGCCGGCCAGGGTCCATTGTGGCAAGCAGCGTGTATAAAGCCCACCCCACAAGAAATTGTAGCCTGGATTTTCTTGATAACTGTGATTGTTAATATCCTAGCCTACTCTAGTACAATCACTCTGAAGGAGGTCCCTATCTTCCCTGCCCCTCACCTTCGCCATCCAAGAAAAAAAAAGGTCTGGAAAAGCATTTTTTAAAAACTGGGATACAGAGAAACCCTGTCTCAAAAAACCAAAAACAAAAAAAAAAAAAAAAAAAAACAAAACCAAAAAACCAAAAAACCCCAAAAAAACAACAAACACAAAAAACAAACAAACAAACTGGATACAGTAATACTGTATCACTCTATTAAATATTAGCACGTCAATGTGTCTGAAAATTCTTTCAACTAAGCAGTATAATAGGCTTTAAGGAAGCTTTATTCAATGTTATTTGACCATTCAAACTTTTAAGTATAGCTGAGAAACAATGCACAAAGGAAAATGTGTGTTTAATATGTGTAAATCATTGAAAATAACACAGCAAAACAGTTCCTGGTTATACAAATTATATCATTAAGGTTTTCCCAATAGGGCATATGATCCCTCCTTACTTTTTATTTTTAGTTATAATTACAGTGTCTGCATAAACCAGTGTTCTTTTAATATATATACTTCACCCAGCTAATTAGAAAAGTGCTTGACATATAGAGAAAAAAATGAACATATTCACAACTGCTCTATTAAACAGATAAGTAATCATTCAATGCTATATGAAAAGTTTTTAGAGTTTCTGTGTTAAAGCTTTAATACACTCTTAGATATATTCTATTTGCCATGCCAAAATTAAAAGATGCATCATAGACTTTCTCTTGATTGCTGCATTAGCTTTAGCTTTAAAGTTATGATCTTAATACAACTTCATTATAGTTAAAACTGATCTGCTTCAAAGATTTTTGTCTATTCCAAGCTACTCTAAAAGTATGACTACAGAATTTCTTATTTTTAAATTATCATGTGTATTTCACTATAATCTTTCTTATTAATTCATTTTAATTGGCCAATGCATAAAATATCCATCGTCTGCCAATCTTAAAATAATGTCAATGTTCTACAGCCTTGGGCTATGCATATTTTCACCTTATATATACATGATCTTATCAATGAGAACCACTATTTCAATAGAATCAAGGACTTTACAGAGAGGTAACTTTCTCAGTATCTATCCAATCTAATCTAGAAAAGAGTATCAAAATTCACCCTGTCATACGATGTTGGCTTATTAGAATCTAACACCCCTGTGATACTATACCTGCGGACATTCCAAATGAGAACACGGGTGCCTTTTTTCCCTGGGATAGCATCGAACTGAGACAGCAGGTCTTGTTCACTGTTGAAAATTGAATAGTTCAAGATGGCCTCTAGGCTCGGCAAAGAATCTTCAGTAACAATCATTTTTTGTAAAAAACGTTCAGTCAAAGAAAAATCGCATCTTATGAGGATGGTACCAAGAAGTAAAAGTCATAATGAAACTAGCTGGGTCAAAAAAGGACATGGAAAAAAGGAGGATTAGCTGAGAAGAGGAAGAGGACCAGTGGGAGGAGCCAAGAGAGGGTGGGGTAAATATAATCTAAACACATTACATACACAAGAATGTGACAATGAAAGACATTATTATACAGTTATGTAAATTAATAACTACTATAAAAAGAGTGTCTTTGGGGTTACATGTAGACACAAAATCTACATGCAAAGGATAGGCATTACTGCTACAGAAAAAAGGAGTTGGAAAGTTGAGAAAGGTTATTTATTCAAACATCAAAGTCAGTCATACTTGCAGAATGCAGTTGCAAAGATGCAATGGAAACAAAGAAAGTCTATCATAAAAAAAAAGATCAAAGGCCAAAATGTTTAACTCTCTGGAGGCAGTCAAGTTCAATTCTTCCTGCCATACTTCTCCCATCAGAAATGAGAGGCCATCCAGGTATATACGAATGAACCATTCTGCTAGCAGATAAACTGGTAAATAGGACATTTCTAGGAGCATAAACACAAAGGCAGTTAGCCTTTATGGGGCAAAGGCCCTGAGAACTTTACCACAGAACAGTGTCTAGCAAAAAGGTAATTTTATAAATCAAACTGTAACAGTGAGAATTTGAACACAGAAAAAAATGTAAACTTCTGCTAATGGTCCACTATTTTAAAAAATATTTAATACAGGGACATTTCAGTTACTTTTGAGATATCTGAATACCTCTTTAAACATAAAAACTTATTTGAAATAGTCAGACTAATATTTAATCAATTACTCTCCATTTCTAGGAAGGATATTGCTTTGCTGGCTGAATGGGACAATTGGGACAATGACTGCCTGGGCCTGGATACACTCCAGGTAGGTCTGTGACAGAAGTCCGACAGCGAGAGTATTTCCATTCTTGGTGAAGACAAGAGCATCTTTTCCTAGCCGCATGGAACCCGACTTGAAACCATTACCAAAGACCCCGATGGGACACTGGCTCTTCTTTATTACTTTATCTGTAAAGCCAAAGCTGAAATTACAGAAGAAAAAAGAAATGAGCAAGGTAAAAAGCATCCTAAAACAGTTAGCAGAGAGAATGGTTAGATTATACATGCAGAATAGCAACAAGTTCTGTTTTCACTCTTTTTGGTCCTTCCAGGCAAAACATAGGAAATTACGATTGGGCTATGAGACCAATTTTCCAGTGTGGCTTGTGTGTACTTAACCATTAAATGGTTCTATATGCCAGAGTCACACTTGGTAAATGAAATGCTCCTACTGGCTAACATAACAGTAGGAGCCAGGGAAGGCCTTGCACAGCTGCCTTTCTCGTTTAGCTAAATCAGCCCTGACTGCTGTGAGTTGGGACTATATGAAAAGAGTTGTTACCTGGAGAGGGTCATACAAGTACCGGTGGTGCTAAGTGAGGTACTTGGACTAAGCACTGTCTCATCTGGTCACATCGCCCTCTAAAAATCTAAGAGATCATTTATCTTGACAATTCCAACTCCCCACCCAAAGGAGAACCCTCCTCATTCTAAGGCTCTGTTCCATCTGCTGGGACAGTTCACTGGAGTGCTGCCAAGGGATAAAAATAGGTAGTTCTGCCTGTGGATATCTGCAAACAGCTGCAGCATAAAGTCTCTCTTGTTCTATTAAAGGCCTCTCACTGAGTCACCTCAGCAAACTCTGCAGCCTCTTGTCGTCAGCTTATTCTGAGTCAAAATCCTTCCCTTTCTTATGTTTTCCATTTGGGTACTCAGATACACATCCAAATAACAGAATACAAAAGTATTTAAACATGTGACGCCTACAAAATGATCTCCTTCTTGTATCCTCCACCACCACCACCACCACAAATAACACTAATTTTGAGGATTGTGTATCTCCAGATTGCCCGATTTCACAACGATGTATACTGCCATTAGTTAAACATTTATTGAGGCCCAATGAGTTATGTGTTATGCTAAGCACTGGAGACAAAACTCTTAACACAACTGATAAGATTCTTGCCCTCAAACTGATAGCTGACAGGATTTCATGTATTACAGATTAGCTGCTTCTCCAGTATCAGTGAAAGAGACACTGTCTCCACATGGCACAGCTGAGCAGGTTGGTTCTGGCCTTACTCTTTCCAGTGGGAAGAGGGCTCAACTACCTAGTTTCCATTTCCAGAAGACTGTGGTTTTGTGTTTACCACCTAATAAAAGGGACCAGTTTTCAGTTTTCTGTTATAGGATGTTACGTAACAATGTACTGATGTTCCCTAGGTCTCTGTGCATCCTACCAATAAATCTAATGTGAGATGAAAACAATTTTCAGGGAAGTGGTCCTCTGAAAAGAGAACACTGAGTTAACATCATGTTTGGGCCTTAATGATTCCAGGAAGTAAGGCTTACAAGCTGATAAGATTCTGATATTTTCATTCCTCTCATAGAAGAGCTGGCTGGAAAAGACAAGGTCATTAGGAAGATAAAGTTACAGTCTCTGTAAAATACATCAATTATAAAGTAATATTCGATCTTTAATTTTAAACTGACTCTAGGATTCACTCTGAGAACTGGAGTGTACTGTTCCTTATCTGTACTCCAGATCTAATGACATGTCTAAAATTCAGAGCTCTTCATAAACAGGCCTTTTACCTGCCACATGAAATGAATTGGTATGGTCATTTGGATTTATTTTTTTCTAATATCGCAAAACTTTCAATTGAATAGTCAAGGGAAAGTGGTACAACAGGCAAACTGTCAATCTCTTCTTTTCCAGTCCCCTCTAGCGTCTGTCACTATTTCCCCCTCCACGTGTATAGATCCTTGTATTAGCTACCATAAGGAGATGGGATGATGCTATGAGGTTGAAAAGGTAAGAAACAGGACAGTCAAAACTAGGGTGGAAACGGATAAAAGGAAGCAGAAGAGAAATGGAAGCTCTAGACTTTGTTCTATTACTAACTCTTCCATGAGCTCTAGTTTGCCAAAGGTCCCATGTCAAGTATTCTATTTAACTGCAAATACCTAATTCAAGAGCGCTCACCATACTTTATAATAGAAACATGCAAGTTTATATAGCTTTCAATAGCTCAAATGATTTCAGAAAAGCTATCTTGGCTTAGATGGTTCATCTTCACTGAGTCAATCTTGTTCTATCCTCTCCTGTAACAGATACCATTATTTATACACCAAGGGACTTGCAGACTGCCACTCCCGATGGACTACAAGAACACAGCAATTTCCTCTTGAATACCCTTAAGATGTCAGGAATCTAGATTCTGGAGAGAGAAGTTTAAATTGGGTTGCAGACCAATGAAATATACCTTAACAAAACCCCAGGGAGCCGGGCGGTGGTGGCGCACGCCTTTAATCCCAGCACTCGGGAGGCAGAGCCAGGCGGATCTCTGTGAGTTCGAGGCCAGCCTGGGCTACCAAGTGAGTTCCAGGAAAGGCGCAAAGCTACACAGAGAAACCCTGTCTCGAAAAACCAAAAAAAAAAAAAAAAAAAAAAAAAAAAAAAAAAAAAAAAAACTCCAGGGAAATACATGAGTAGGTATGTGTGTGTTTATTTCCTACATATAGTGGTGGTGTAATATGTACTCTAAGTGGCTGAAAGACTGATAAGCAGGCTGATACTCTCTGGCTGGCTGCTGTTTTGGAGCAGACCTACTATGCTATGTGATTCTGAGCAGAGGCAGTAAAGGCCTTCAATCTGTGGCTTTGAGCTTCTTTTTAATCCTTGTCCTTTGGAAAGAGGCTTTCCACCTTGCTGGGAAAGGCTGCTGAATGGTATATACTGATTCACATACTATCCAAAAAGCCCAAAAGGCCTTTAAAAAAACTGAATGAAAGATTTTCTTTGATTTAGTTTTGTTCTTCCCCTTGAGGTGCTGGGAGTAAACACAAGACTTTCACATGCCAGGCAAGTGCTCAGAGGAACTACCTATTCAGCGCAGACTTTCCTTTTTTAGTTTAATTTTCATGGGTTTCTGTGTTTATGAAAGAAACTGCTCCTTCAGTTACACACCCTAGTTTATCAGCCTGAAAACAGGAAGAGTAGCATAGTGAGTCACAAAAACAGGCACAGGATACCAATAAATGTCAGAGGTCAAACAGAATGGCTATAGGCTTAATACTTTTGCATACTTTGCCCAACGACTTCTATTATTTTTTCCAAATACAAAATAAATATGTCACAAAATGAAAAATAGAAAAAATACTTTATACAGTAATAATATTCAAAACTACCTCTAAAGTTTAGAGTGTTTTTTTTTCTTCAAAAATTGGAGTGGGCTAGGGCTATAGAGACCAGAAAGAACAGTACTTGCTGGTCATATACAAGGCATTGCTAGAAAAACAATTGTGGGAAGTGAAGTCTTGGGTTGTATGGATTAGACTAAATGATCTCCTTTAAATAAATGATCTCTTTTAGCTAATTCCCATTTATTCTGAGAGACAATCACAAGTAAAATCCAGAATACACACTACATTAAGTACTCATTAACAGAGTTTTTTAAAATTAAGTTTTAAATATAAAAAAACAAACTCTCTGTGAAAATCAGTGGCAAACATGTTTTGTGTGACAAGAGAAACTGCTATGGCTATAGGAGTTTCTGCCTATTTGGCTTCTTTGGGAAGGGCCCACATTCTGAATGGATGATACGGATCCTTCATGTTTTGTTTCAAATGTCTCAGTAGGCAAAGGCGCTTCCACCAAGACCGAAGGCCTGAGTTCAATCCCCAAAACATGTGACAGAGGAGAGTGCCAACTACTGTAAGCTGTCCTCTGCATTCCACACACAGGCACCCCCCCACACACACACACGTAAGTGTGTGTAAGTTATTCTTTGTGTAGTTTTTTAAAACATTCATAGGCTAGACTAAATTTCTTCTGTCAACTGTTCTCAAAGAAATTGCACTCTTTTTCCTACCACTTACCTCTGGGTGGAAGAGCCTACTTATCCGTAGCAGTAGCCAACTTCTCTTTTTCGCTATACTGTCAACACTTCTAGAGCAAAGATCATATCCGTCTAGATTACCACTGGCTTCTGATTCATTCATTCATTCATCCATTCATTTGGTAAGAATTTACTGAATGAATGAATTTGGAACAAAACTTGTGATTATTCTTTAAAAAAAGATTTTATTGATTTTTATTTTATGTAAATAGGTGTTTTACCTGCATGCATGTCTGCATATCACATGCATACAGTGCCCACAGAGGCAAGAAGAGGGTGTCAGTCAGGTCCACTGGAACTGGAGTTAAAGACAGTTGTGAGCTACCATGTGGGTGCTGGGAATTGAACCCAAGTCCTCTGGAAGAGCAAACAGGGCTCTTAAACACTGAGCCATCTCTTGGGGCCCTGAAATTATTTTCAAATCATTCTCTTCTTCCCTTCTTTCTTATATCTGTCTCAACTTTCACATATATAGTTGCACAGAACAAAATGGAAGGTGTTTAGGTTTGCTGGGCCTACTGTTTGATGCCCATGTAACTGGGATAAGGTGGTGTGGGTGAAGTCAGTAAGGTAATTAGCAGGAGCTAGGGAGGTGACTCAGTGAGTAGGCTGCTTGATGTGTGAGCAAGAGGACCTGAGTTTGGGTCTCCAGCACCCACATGAAACCCTATACTGGACAGAGCATGCCTGTAACCCCATCATCGAGGAGGTGGAAACAGGGATATGTGGGGATTGCTGGCAAGCTCGTGTAGCTAAAGGTAAACCCCAGGTTCAATGGGAGACCCTGTTTGGGACAAAAAGGTGGAGAGTAATTGAGGAAGACATCTGACATCAACCTCTAGCTTTCACGCATGGACATGCATGTATGTGCACACAGATACACAAAATACAAAAACATGTACATACATATAAAGACATACAAAAACAGGTGACCAGCAATTTTAGAGAAATGTTGTAATACAGAATTAGACATAAATATTATAATTCTATCCTATCTAAATTGTCTTCTTTTTAGTATGTATTATTAATGTCAGGGTATAAAACTGATGCTGCGGATCATAGAATCAAACCAACTCTCTAGCTCTACATTCACCACATACTGGATATATATTCTAGAGCTTTCCCTGAGTTTTTGTTTGCTCTGTTTTGTTTTGGCAAAGCTTCGTGGCACAGACAATCCTAGAACTCTCAATACCCCTAGCTTTTTCTCCCAAGTGCTCAGATTACAGGCATGCACTACCATACCTGGCACTCAAAAATTCTTCTAACTAAGAGAGACTAAGCTACTAAGGGCTGGAGAGGTAGTTCACTGGTTAAACACACCAGCTGTTCTTCCAAAGGACCTAGGTTCAATTCCTAGCACACATACGGCAGCTCACAGCTTTCTGTAGGTCCTGCTCCAGGGTATCTGAGACATATACATGTAGGCAAAACACGTATACACATAAAACAAAATATTTTTTTAAAAAAAGAAAGACTAAAGTAAAAGATATATAGACTTCTGGGTAGTAAAACACAACCATTTACTTTGACCAAATTTCATTTGTTTCTTTGAAGGAATAAAGGGAGTTCCCTATAAACAGCTACTAATTCAGAAAACTTTCCAATAAAACTACAACACAATGAATTTGTTTTCCGTTTTGGGGATTCTGAGCCCTTTCCCTTCTGGTCAGCACAGCTCCATTGTTACCCACATTTTACATGCTCTAGTTCAGGAAGCACATGGAGAGTTAACAACCACATCTGCTAAAAAGGAAAAAAAGAAGGAAAGGGTTGAAGAAACACCCAGCTTGCACCAAGTGATATGGGAAGACAATAAAGCACAAACATTCTCAACCACCAACGTTTAAAAATAATGAAATGAACTCGCTATGGCAGTATGAATCTATCTTCAGCTTCGCTGGTTAGAAAATATCCCCGCTTACCTCCACAGTTCTACGATAAAACCTTCCAAGATTACGTATGGGAATGTCTTCTATTTACCTTTCCTAGGGTTTCTTTATGCTCAGGCACCTTCACAGTTCTAACCTATGAGTCATCCCAACTCCAGTACTTGTGACTTAATGAATTTAGGTGAGTTATGAACTGGAGAAGGTAGCAGATAAATGAAGAAATTCGGGTTTTTATTTAGACCATTTTCTCTTCTTGAACTGCCATTCCCTACTCCCTACCCTTTCTTACCTTGTTAAATTTGACTCATCCTTTACATCTCAATGTGAACAGCATTCTAACTAGGAGACCTTTACAGAGCTCTGAGGGCAGATTGGGCTCTGCTGTGTACTTACCCCATGCATCTCATGTTTTCCTGTTTTTATGTGTAGAGTATTTTATTGTGGTTACTTGCTTTAATCATCTGAATTGCCAGCTAGATTCTAAGTTCCATGGAGGCAGAAATACTGTCTGCTTCACAATCAGTGTCTTGACACTAAGATATGCTTAATGAATATCCATAGGGTAAATAGAGGTAAGTTAAAACATTACAGACAAGTTATAGAGCCTTAAATAAAGTTTGTGAAGTAAAGATAACAAAATAGAATAAAGGTATTTTTACCTGAGCATCCGGTGGAGTTTGTGAGGTGTCATCCCACATCCATCATCAGTAAAGGTCAAACAAGGTTTATTCTTGACTTCCTCGACATCTATAAAGACGGTTCTGGCAGATACATCTGGATCTACAGCATTATCTGCAAAAGGTAGAAATATGTGATACCAGAACCCCCCCCTTTACAATAATCTATCAAAATCTCCAGTTCAGTACTAACGTACCTACATTTGTCTTGAATTCCTTCCTATGGATATCACAGAAGATAAGCAAGGAGGCATTAACAGTGGTGCCCTTACTGAGTTATGGGAACAGCGGGCATGATGGCAGATGGAGCCGTGAAGCTGATTTCTAGGTCTCACATAATGGATGATCCTGCAATCTGACTTTCTCCTTACAAAAGTCGGGGTCTATGGGAAAATGTACTATTTTCAAAGCATTTTGCTTTGATTTGGCTTTCCTACCTCTCGCCTCTCAGCCATTTTACAGCTCGTGAACACAGTAAAAGGTATATAAAGTGAACAAGTTGAAACAGCAGTTTGGGTAAAAAAAAATGGGTATCTTATGCACATTACTTTTTCTTTGTGAAAAAATTATCTTCTGCTTTTTGATATCTGGTCTCCATAGCAAGTTCTAGGACAACCAGAGATACATAGTAGAGGGACTCTGTCTCAACACACACACACACACACACACACACACACACACACACACACACACACACACACACAGAGAGAGAGAGAGAGAGAGAGAGAGAGAGAGAGAGAGAGAGAGAGAGAGAGAGAGAGAGAGAGAGAGGTGTTTTTGCTATCCCTGTTTATAGTTATAAAGACCTCAAGGAGTCAGAGGTGAAAATTAAAACATTTAATTGCCTGCTTAAATCCCAGCAATGGCAGCAAGCCTGTTTAGAGAGAAATAGTGATTCTGCTGCTTTTCTCTGTGTTAAATGTGAAGCTGTCTAGCCCTTGAAATGGAGAACTGAATTAATGTAGAAAATTGCATAGAAATTTCCATGGTTCCTCCTGAAGTACATCTTCACAAACGGCTACTTATTTTCAAACTTAACCATAGTAAATGTGTCATGTCCTCCATGATAGAGAGTACCACTATCTGAAAGGCCACATCTATCACCATAGGCACCAGTTTACACAATCATTAACTGATGTGGATTACTAGTCTCATTAGGGTTCACTAGCCCTGTTAGAAGTACATTCTATACAAATGTTGGATAGTACTATTGTTTGGATATGGTTTGTCCCCTAAAGGCTTATGTGCTGGAAACTGTCTCTGGTGTGGTGAAGAGATTGCAGAACCTTTAAGAAGCAAAGTCTAGTACAAGATAATTAGGTCACCAAAGATGCTACCTTGGAAGGGACTAACACTGTTACATATGAAAGGATTGAATTAGTTTCCACTAAAATGGGTTGTTTCAATCCAAGGCCACCCTGTGTGTTTGGCTCCTTCTGCACATGTCCAGCTCTGTTTTGACTTCTTCTCTGGTACATTATGATGCCTTGTGATGCAGCTAGGGGGCCCTTTCAGGGATGCTGGCATGATGCCATTTGGACGTTCCAGGCACTAGAATCATGATTCAAATAAACTTCTTTATTTACCATGCGTTTATGCTTGGGCATTTTGATATAGTGACATAAAATGGACTCACACAACTAGGTACCTAAATCATTTCTATTTCTACTAGTTCTTTTTAATCAACAGAGACCTTCCTTTCTATATATCCTTACTTCTCTTTCTGACATTCTATATGGCTTTACTGATACCATATAGGTGGGCTGAGATAGCCACGTGGGGTCCTGATCACATACTTGTATCAATACTGTTGATAAAATCATGTCATTTCTCCATTGGGAACATCTCTTACAATCACAAGTATTACACTGACTCAAAATACACATTTTTTACAATATAATTATCAGTATCAGTTACAACCACTTAGATGTGTGGAATGTCTGCCAAAAAAAATGAGACGCAGATTAATTTCAAGTGACACAACACTGTTGCCAGTCATTGATAAAACTGTCACTGGCTGCAATCTGAAAAAAAATCTGGACAGCTCCAGAAAGGGTTATGAGGCCTACTATAGTCAATCTATAAAATCCAAGTAGGACCTAAGCCCCATATAAATGTGGCAATAGTAGTGGGGCTACATTTGAGCAGAAGTTAGGGGCTGGTAAGCAAAGGTAGCATTAACAGAAATGTAGTTCTTTACTTTGTAAGAGGCAGGGTTTTTTTTTCTCCCGTAATCAGAAGGACCTAGCATTTTACATCTGTCAGCATTCAGGAAATTTTACTTGGCATGCAGGCTCTTATCAGTCACTCCTGCTGGTAGACAGCCAAAGCCATTGAGACCAATACAACTTGTCAACCAGCTGGATAGCATTTATACATGGAAAATGATGAATATCAGGGACTTTTTCCTAATACTTTATGGACCTTCACAATTCAAACACACAATACATGCTGACTCCAATTACACACATGTACTGGGACATGAAGTGTATCAGTTTATGGGCCTCTAACAAAATCATTTCTATTTTTCTCATTTATTTATTTGTTTGTTTGTTTTATAGGAGTGTACCAAAGAATCTGAAGAGAGGCAGTTCATGAGTTACATAGTGGCTGTCTGGAGCAGTCAGGCATGAGCTGAGGGTTCATGAAGGACAGAGAATATGGGGCCCAAGAGAGGTCCGAGTCAGACGGAGCATCAGGAAATTGAGATCAGTGGGCATGGACTGGCAAACGGAGCTTTGCACTTACTTTCTGGTTCCATGCGGCCTTTCATGAGGCCTCCACATCTGAAAGTATAGCAACATCATCAGCCCATGGATGAACCTCCACGGTGCTAACAAGACAAGCAGTTTCAACCCTACCCCATGTTGTTCAGCACTGTAAGAATAGGCCAACATGTAGAATATCCTATCACATCTCAGGGAATCGATCTTCGAGCCCAGTCCAGCCCATTTAGACCGTGAACAGATATAAGAGAACGCTTCCTCCTCTACCTAGTAGCTAGATGAGAGCTGTCCTATCTTCATTTGTCTAGTTTGGATTCACAATTCCATACACTAACAGTCTTACCTCTCCTGTCTCGGTTTGTGTCATCCCTCAGTGACAGGGTCCTAGCTCCACCTTGCCTTTGGCTACCAAGTTACTTACCAAGGGACATGAGAATCCTTATAGCCTAAGCTGTTTCACACTCACCCTCTACATGATTCCTTGTCTTTTTTTTTCCTCGAGACAGGGTTTCTCTGTGTAGCTTTGCGCCTTTTCCTGGAACTCGCTCTGTAGCCCAGGCTGGCCTCGAACTCACAAAGATTCGCTTGGCTCTGCCTCCTGAGTGCTGGGATTAAAGGTGTGCGCCACCACTGCCCGGCTGATTCCTTGTCTTTTAAAACAAATTCTGTACCTGAAGACACATCTCAGAACCTGGCAGTGGCAGTGGCAGAGAAGGAGGAGCCTAACAAATCGGTCAGTGACAAGAAAGATAAAGAATGGAAGACTGCTTTGAAATAGTATTTCACAAGCCTCCTATCTGTTCCTGCTCCAGTACGTGGATGTCGGCAAGGTTGCCAGGGACAGGCTATTGCACTACAAGGCAATTTACAAATAGGTAGAAGTATAAAAGTAAGGCCATCATCTTTGGTCACAATGCCATTCACACACACACACACACACACACACACACACACACACACACACACACAGAGAGAGAGAGAGAGAGAGAGAGAGAGAGAGAGAGAGAGAGAGAGAGAGAGAGAGAGAGAGAGTGTGTTTCTACATTCAAATGGCAACTATGACTGGAGTTGGAGCTCAGTGGAATACTTGCCTGGCATGTGTGAAACCATGAGTTTGATTCCTATTTAAAAAGTCATTTTTATGGGGCTAAAGAGATGGCTCAATGGTTAAGATCAATTGCCACTCTTGCAGAGGATCCTGGCTTGGTTCCCAGGACCCACATGGCGGTTCACAAGTGTCTACAATTCCCGTTCCAGAGGATCTGACACCCTCTTCTAGCCTCTTTGGGCACCGCCCTCAGGCATGCGGTACATTTACATACATGGTAAAACACTCATCCACATAAAAAACAAAACGTTTTTTAAAGCTATTTTTAATCTCTCTCTTTCTGCTCTACACCCTCAGGCTCTGTTACATCTTGCTTTTTCTACTCTCATAGTAATTTCTCTTAACGAACAGGGTTTATTCCCTATCATCTGTATTATTGCAATAGCTTCCTAACAATCTTTAAAATCCACATCTCTAATCCCAGCACTCGGGAGGCAGAGCCAGGTGGATCTCTGTGAGTTCGAGGCCAGCCTGGGCTACCAAGTGAGTTCCAGGAAAGGCGCAAAACTACACAGAGAAACCCTGTCTCGAAAAAACCAACCAACCAACCAAACAAACAAAAAAACCAAAAAAAAAAAAAAAAAAAAAAAGAATCCACATCTCTCTTCTCCAACTCCATTCCTCCAACTCCATTCCTGTAAGATCAACTGCCCCAAAGCAGAGCTCTAACCACGAATTCTCCTTGTCAGGCCAGCAGGTCAAATGTCAAGCCTCCCAGTCACATCCTGGTTCCAGCTCACCTTTCTAACCTCATTTCCTACTTGGAATTTGAAGTAAAATGACCCGTGTTTACGCCCTGAATCTGCCTCTTACTAGACCTATGACCTTAGAAAGGTATCAAACCTCTGTTTACTCATCTTTGAAAGAAAAATACTACTAATTTCCAAGGATAAAGCTACAAGGATATTTTTGAAAGCGCTTTATAAATTCTTTTTTTTAAATTTTATTTTATAATTTAATTTAATTTTACATATCAGCCACGGATTCCCTTGTCCTCCCCCCAAACCACTCCCCATTCCCATCTCCTCCAGGGCAAGGACTCCCCTGGTGATTCAGCTCAACCTGGTAGATTCATTCCAGGTAGGTCCACTCCCCTCCTCCCAGGCTGAGCCAAGTGTCCCTGCATAAGCCCCAGGTTCCAAACAGCCAGCTCATGCACTGAGGACAGGTCCCGGTCCCACTGCCTGGGGGCCTCCCAAACAGTTCAAGCTAATCAATAAATTCTTTAAAAGTGTATAGTTTCGACTGTTTGTAAACTCCGTGCTCTAATTAAATTCAAGGACCTATAAGATATTTTTCACGCTTTTGTTCATCCACTTGTTCCTTGTGAGTGGGATGTCCCCCCGCTCACCATATCCACGTCTCAACCCTTCAAATCTTTACTCAAATGTCCCCTCCTCCACAAAGTCTTTTCTGACCCCTCTGTTCCTGATAAACTTAAGTCACTCCTCTTCTGTCTGTACTCCTACAGCACTCATGTACATCTCTGCTCATTCATCACTTTCTACATGGTTATTACAGAAACTGTAAACCTTTTCACATGGTCTGTCGCACCTATTAATAATGTGGATCTGGATTCTATCCATTTTCTACCTATCTCGGTGACTTTGTGCATAATGGGCGTTTAATACATGTTTATTAAATGAGTGATCCCCTAAAAATTAATTCAGAAGTAGAGAAAACCGTTGAAGGAAAAGCCAAAATGGAAGTTTTGGATTACCAGTTAACACTCTGATGTTCCTTTTCCCTATTAATATTTGTGACTTGATTTTTTAAAAAAAAATCTCTTTGTATATGCATGCATATAATATACACATATTTGAATTCATGATAGTAATCTTAGGCCAGGTCTATTTTTTTTTAATTTAATGCCTTAAAAAAACCATATAGTGAGCTGAGTGTAGTGGCACATGACCGCGGGCGGATACAGACAGATCTCCGTGTGCTGAAAGGTAGCCTGATCTACACAGCAAATTTCAGGTCAGCTTAGCTATGTAGTGAGACCCTGTCTCAAAAAAAGAAAAAAAAAGAAAAACAAAAGAAAATCATATAAAGTCGTTGATGTAGCTTAGTGGCAGAGCACTTGCCTAGCATTCATGAGGCTCTAGATTCAATTCCTAGCATCACCAAAAAAAAAAAAAAAAAAAAAAAAAGGAAAAAGAAGACAAATCATCAAAATTAAATTACAAATTGAAAATGCTGTTGTTTTCTCTCCTTTGTCTTTTTCAAATAAGCTACATGCACATAGATCTCATTCCACTATTCGAAGGTTCACTGTAGACATACTGAAAACCCTAAAAGATAGAGTCGCCTCAGCCTGGAAATTCAAACTACATCAATGCCACTTTCCTCCTGAACTTTCTAGATTGCAATCAGTGACCTACTATATCACATTTTGGGTTATAGCCAACCTAATCATCAAAATTCTCCATCACCTTCCAAATAACTCTTGTGGCTCTTCCCGTCGCTCACCGACATCATTACAAAAACAAGTCTCATGGCATGGCCACAGCGATGGCTTACGTACCCACTGGGGTTCATTCATGTAGCTTTGAAGCCATTTTCAAGATTTTTGTTCTGTGCTAACTAGCCCCATAAATCTGTCTCCCTTTTTCGGGTTTTTGAAATATTTATAATGTGCTTGCTTTGTGTGCTGCTGAATTTTGTGCAGAACTGCTTTTCAGAACGTTACTGCAGAAGCTGATGCAGTCAGCTCCAAGGAATCAACTGAAAATGCTTTTTACGCAAGCACCGGTGCACCCAGAGGTTAAGTCCTTAAGTCCTCCGGATTCATTCCAGCGGTGTGAGGGCGCTCGTGGACTACGGACCCAGCCCTCTGCAGTCTCAGGGAGCCAAATGCACTCGTGTCATCATCTCTTAAGAGATGTCCCATCATTCCTAGACTTTGTCTCTAAAGTTAAAGAAGTCGTTTCCAGATCTTTCCAACGACTCTACACGGTCCTCTGCACTGTTCCTTGGCCAGCTTGGGGCCCTCTGTCGGCCGCCAGCCGCCGTCGAACCCAACCGCCTCGGGGCCCGATATTTTTATGCATTGCTTTTTGATTATTAACTAAGAATCCTAAAGTGACTGGAACATCACGAACCAGACACGACTCAGGATCCCTATCAAACTCTTCATACACACCTCGCTTCCTGGGTTTTCTGGGCGAGATCTAGTCCCCCCACCCACCCACCCACCCACCCACCAGCACGAGAGAACACGGTGGCCGAGGCCCCCCAGGCCGCCCCGGGCGGACCCGCCCCACGCGCCTCGTGCATTCCTCTCGCGTCCACCGCACCACGCTGGCACCGCTGCCCCTGGCTTGCGACCCGCGGCCCCGACCCGCCCTCGCCACTCACCTAGCAGCTCCGCGATGGCACTGAAGGGTCGCGTGTGACTGCTGGAGTTGCTCTGGAGGTAGCGGGGGCTCATCTGCGGGCGAGAGAAGGTCCGGTCCCGCGTGAGGCCTCGGCCCGCCGGGCCCATCCCGCGCGCCCCCCGCAGCCCCGGGGACCCGCGCACGCTCGCGGGAGTCCGTCCCCTCGGGAGGCCCCCCAGACCTACCGTGCTCAGGCGGATCCCGAAGGCCTGCGGGACGCTGCCCGGCCGGGCCAGTCCGCCGCCCAGCGCGCCGGGGCCCGCGGGGGCCCCTCGGTACAGGAGCATTTTTTTGGCCGCCAGGATACTGGTTTGCCGCTGCCGGACCCTTCGGCCGGCTGTCCTGCACTAGACCGAGCTGTCCCCCGACTCGCAGCTGGCGGTGGCCGTCCCGGACTGGCCCTCCCTGGTTCTCACTCGCAGCTGGCGGAGGCGGGGCGCGCTGCAGCCACCTGTCCTCAGCGGGAGGGGTAAAGCCGGAGAAGCCCAGCGTCTGCCCCGCCTTGTCAGCACCTCTCCTGACCCAGGGACTGCCGGGGCTGCCCCACGGCCGTACAGAAATATGGCGATCTCCTGACAGACGCTCCTCCATCCCCGCCCCTAATTAATTCTTGGCGTTTGCCATAGGCCAGACGGCCGAGCGGGAAAAGCGCGAGGGGAGGGGGGGGATGGCGGTGCGTGGGGAGGGGCGGGAATGTGGCAAGAGGAGGGAGAGCGTGCATGGGATTTCTGGAGTCCCACTTAGGCTGCATGACTAACAGGCAGGATAAGACAAGTCTTTCAAGTTAGAAGGACTGCAGTTTTGCTATCTGGGAAGATAGCAGACCGGAGCCAAGGGAAATCATTCCAAAAGCTGCTTCGAAAGTGTATGGAAGCACCCGGAACTTTCTAGAATGCAATTGGCAAACTGCCTACCAATCCTTCAAGCATGCAGGGCGATTTTATAAAAGGAGAAACTGAATTTACTTCCTGCAAAATAGGGAATTGATTAAGTTATAGAATACATAAATTAATATACAATTTTGTGTGTTTGCACACTTGTGGTTGCACAGTGAGCACACCACTTACGTTTTAAGGCCAGACACTGAAATCTGGTGTCTCTGTGGCTGGGATTACAAGGTCGCACTACCATGCTCATGCTTGCACAGCAAACACTTTACCCAATGAGCCATCACCCAAGCCCCCAAGTAATGTGAATTTTTTATTTTAAAAAGTTTTTGTTACTGCACTTAATTATTTTGTGTGTGTTTGTGTGTCTGTGTCTGTGTGCACATGTAGAGATGAGCGCACAATTTTCAGGAGTTGGTTTTCACCTTCCCCCATGTCATGTGGGTTTAGGGATCGAACTCAGGTTGTTAGGCCTTGGTGGCAAGCACCACTGAGCCATTTCACCTGGCCCAATATTCAACTTTTAAAGGACAAGCCTGTTGTAGATGAATCTACATTTACATCTGCTGTGTTGATCAAATGAGGATGGTTAGCATGTTGCCTTCATATACTTATTTTTTTCATGTGGTGTTAGAATCACACCAGGCAAGTAACCGGCCAACTTTACCTTGTTTTTTTTTTGTTTGTTTGTTTTTTTTGGTTTTTGAGACAGGGCCTTTTAGTGGCCTAGAATTCACTAAGTTTAGGATGACTAGCCCGTGATCTGCCTGTTTGTGTCTCCCCAGTGTCTTGAGGATTACAGGAGGACACCAACCCTGGGTTTTTTTGTTTGTTTGTTTGTTTTTAGAGGATTGAACTTAGGTCCTTCTCCTTGCACAGCAAGCACTTTCTTAACTGAGCTGTTTCGACAGACCCCTTTGTTTTCGCGGCAGACTCATTAGTCAGCTCAGGCAGTCTCTATCTCTCTATCTTCCTTCCTGAGCCTGTGCTTGGACATAGGGGAGGGCCACCATGCCCAGCACTACATTTATCTCTTGTTTGTGATGAAAACACTTTGAAATGTATAGTGCTTTATTGCTCACCACAGACTCCTTATTGCTTGGTAGCCTACCGGAACTTACTCCTTCTAACTACATACCTGCTGCCCCATTTCTACCTCCCAGGTACCTGATTTTGGACATTTAAGTTGAATGTAAAATTCAGCCATTGTGACTAGTACTGCAATAAACGTGGAAGTGCAGTCGTCTCCTCTACAGCGATTTCATTCTGTGGTAATACTGTGTTTAAATTTTTTGAGGAAGCGCCATACACTTTTTCATAATGTGTCTACTAATTTGCATCCCCACCAACAGTTTATAAAGCTTTCCTTTTCTCCACATCCATACCAGCAATTGTTGTATTTATAATTTTGTCACTCTGACTACAGTGAGGTGTCATCTCACTGTGATTTTCATTTTCATTTTAGTTATACTGAGATTTTTCTGTACATGTGTATTGAGATTGGACCTGGGGCATCACGCCCCATCACACTTCCACCGAACTATCTATCTTTAGCTTCCTTTTTACCTTTTATTTTGAGATAGGCTCTCACTGAGGTGCTCAGGCTGGCCTTGAAATGACTTTGTAGCCCAAGGAGGTTGGATATGCAGTCATCCTTCCTCAGTATTCCAAGTAGCTGGGATTACAGGCCTGTGCCATCAAGCCCTGATGAGCATTTTAAAATAACTTATGGGCTTTTTTATGGTTTTTTTTTTTTGGAAATTGACTTCCCCCTATAAGTCTCAGGAAACTGGGTAAGAGTTTATATAGATAGCAAACAGTTGGTGGGGCAGAGGCAATTCTTTCACGGCAGAAGAATGTGCAAGTTGCCCAGGGCACCCCGGTGATGCCGGGTTTTGTGAGTAGTCACTCATGCCGGGGGAAGGCTTTTTTGCAAGGCAGCTGCATGAATCACCCATGTTTCTCTAAGTAGCCCCTCACCCATGCCCCTGTTAGTAACCCCCCCCATATTCACCAAACTGAATTTGAATGGAATTATTTCTTTGATGTGCTCTTGCTCTCTCTATCTGGCACAAATAGAAAGAGACTCCACAAGTAAAGTCATGCAACAGTGTGTAACATGGTACTTTTGATTGGGAAATCAAATATATGTATGCATTTACGTATAGATCTCTATACAACATATGTATCCAGTCAACTCAGCATCCACGGAGGACTGGTTTCAGAAGCCCCGAAGACACCAAATTCTGTGTATGCTCAATTTCCTTGCATAAAATGCTGTAGCAAATACATATAACCTACCCTTATTATCTCATATACTTTAATCTCTAGATTACTTTTAATATGTAAAGAATGTAAATGCTATGTAAATCAATGTTGTACTGTACTGTTTAGAAAAAGTGACAAGAAAAAAATTTGTACCCATTCAGTTCAAAAATATTTTTAATCTGGGGTTGGTTAAATTATAAACTACCTCAATATATGAATATATAAACTAAGTAATATAAATATATGTGTAAGTAATTATAGGTGTATAATAAATACACGTACAAAATGAAATACATGTATATAATAAAATATATAAATATTTGTATAGCTACAGAACCCATAGAAACAAAAAGCTAATTGTAGAGACACAAAAAAATATATAATTCGTTGTGTTTGTCTTTTTAAAACTTATCTTTTTCTTCCAAATACACAAAAGTACAGACAACAAAATAATCTCTGTTCACATATTACTTTGGTGCAGAAATGATTAAACTCACACAGCTATACATACATACTCATAAATAAAATAAATAATTCTGTAAAAATGTCTGCTTTCGAGATGTTTTCACAGAAATACTTATGTCTGGTGACACATCCAATTCCTTGTTCAGAGCAATCCATTCCATTTCTTCCTCCATCAACACAGCACAGCATTTGGAAAGCCTTGCTCTTCCCTTGGTTTTTGTATCAAGCCTTGGCCATCTTTCACCAGGCTCACTAAATGCCTTTTAAGATGTGTGATCCTCCTGTCCTGCTTGCTTTTGGCGATTGGAATGATACTGTGGGATTTGGGGTCTGTGGCCTGATAAGCATTTAGCATTCTGATTGGCAGTTGAGGTTCTAAGCATTAATCAGACCCTCGCCAGCTCTCTCTGTCAGAGGTGATCCCCAGAGGCAAGTGAACTGCTAAGAGTCCAGGGCCTGGCCTCTAGTGTTGCTGCCAGTAGGCAGCCCTAAGCAAGAGAGTTAAGTGGATCTATACAGATTCCATCAGTGCTGCTCCACAGGGCAATCAAAGGGCCGTGACAGGAAGTTCTACTGTGTCATCCTCAAACAAGGCTTCTGTAGCAGCTGGCACATGAGTGAAGGAAGATGGATTCCAGAGTACTGAGCTATTGTGAAACCCTGGGATTTGCAACACAGAACCAGGAAGTGCTTCTGCAGGATGTGGCAGAACCCTGGAGCATCCCTGTTAATTTCTACCCAGGGGCTTAGCTGTAGGAATTAAATCCAGTTTCCCTCTGCTCTGGGGCCTTTGGGTCATAAGCTTCTATGTGCGTGATCTTTGTTATTTCATGCTGTTTGTACACTTTGCCAAGGTTGAATGCCTTGCCCTGCAGAAATCACACACAGAAATACTTGGCGTTGTCACAGTGGGTTCCAGGGAGTGTATGAGTTTCTTCTATCATGTTCTGACCTATTTTCTAAAATCACATACCCTGAGTTCCTGGATGGACATGCTGAAGCCCGGAAGGTATCAGGGTAGAGATCAGCCAGGTGCTTTTGGAAAGCTGAGCATAGGAAGGCACTGGTTCCTGTCCTGACTCCTCCACTGAACTGGCCTGTGACCTTAGAAACAGATAATCTTCCCAAGGAAGCACACTGAACCAGAGCATGTGGGCAGAAGGATGAGGGACAGATCCCTGCAGGGAGTGGGAAAACAGTGCTGAACAGAGAAGGGAGTAGAACTGAGATGCAGCTTCCCTGACATTTCAGAAGACGGCATGTGCTCCAAGAGGTCATGATTTGCAACAAAGAGCCTGGCATTTATGGGCCATCTTTGAGCAGTCACTGGACACAGCCTATCACCTGAGGATGATGCACAACCTTAGGCACATTAGGCATTCTTCAAACAAAGCCATTCCTGGAATCAGAATCATTTGTGTACTATGACCACCAGCATTCCCTGCAGCTAGTGAGGGTTGAGTGTGTCAATAGTAAAGTCAAGGCAATTGTAAACATGGAGGAGGGGCTTTGGGGCTAGATTGCAGTTGGAATCCAGGTCATAAGCTGTATGATATTAGAAAAGTCACTTATGCTCTCTAAAGCTATTTTTCATTGAAAGAAATGGAATTGGTGGTCTTCCCCGCATGGCTGTTGGGAGAAACAAATAGGTAACATTGGGGGAACGCCCCTGTAAAGCTTCCCAGAACTCAGTAACTCTAAGTTCTCTTCTACCCTGAACCCAAACTTCAGCATCCAAACAATGGTTTGAAGACTAGTTTGCAATGATGAAATGCTGTATGTAAATTGGTATAGTTCTTGCTAACTCATAACTCTTAAAAATGAAGTCACTTCAAAATCTGTCCCATAGTAACGAAATCCCCAGTACATGTTCAAGCTGCCCCCCCCCCCCCCCCCCCCCGTCTGCCCAGGCCCCTCAGTCCTAAGAACACAGATTACTTCGTGCTCTCTCTGTCAAGAAACATCATTTGGGCATTTCAAGGATGTGCATTCTTAACCACCATGTGTGTGGCCAGCAGGCC